ACAGATAATGCCCCTGGTTATACTTCTACCTCTTTTAAACAATTTTGCTCAACATTTGGCATTACTCATATAACAGGAATCCCATACAATCCACAGGGACAAGGCATAGTTGAAAGAGCTCATCAAACTATTAAAATGTACTTATTAAAGCAAAAAGAAGGAATTGGGAAGGGGTATATATTCCCCAAAGATAAACTTAAAATAACCCTTTTTACTCTAAACTTTTTAAATTTGGATTCATCAGGACTTAGTGCTGCGGAAAGGCATATGTGTCCAAAAAATGTACCTAAGCCCAAGGTACTTTGGAAGGATATTCTAACAGGACAATGGAAAGGTCCTGACCCAGTAATTGTCTATAGTCGGGGGTCTGTTTGTGTGTTTCCACAGGGAGAACAGCAGCCGATTTGGATTCCAGAGAGATTAACCAAGGTCCTGACCCAGTGATTGTCTGGAGTCGGGGGTCTGTTTATGTGTTTCCACAGGGAGAACAGCAGCCGATTTGGATTCCAGAGAGATTAACCAAGGTCCTGACCCAGTGATTGTCTGGAGTGGGGGGTCTGTTTATGTGTTTCCACAGGGAGAACAGCAGCCGATTTGGATTCCAGAAAGATTAACTAAAGCGATTTCTACAGACCAAAAAGAAGATGATTTGGCTCAAATCCATAACAACTGATATCCAAAACTCCAGTTTGGCTATTCTTACATCTGCAACAGAACCAGGATGCTTTTTTCAATATCTATTTTATTATTGCCCTTTGCCATATCATGAAGTTCTATTTTGTTTTTTGAGCTCATACAGACCTAGGTTAATGTTTTGCTGATCAGTTCTATTTTTTGACTATAGAGTTTTTAAACATTGCAATGGAGATTTCACCTGTAAAAAGTTATAAGGCCTTTACTATAATGTTATGTGTTGTATGTATTATATTATGTGTGCACACTTGTGTTTTGTGTTATATGTTTGAATGTATGTATGTCCATATATCATATATGATGAGCGCTCATGATAAAATGGATCCAAATATTTTGTTTTTTCACGTGATTTATATGGTTTAATTTAAATTGGGTAAACAACTGTTGAGGATTGTTTTAATATGTAAACAAAAAAGAAGGTTAACAGATCTGTTTGTTTACTTTCACCTTTCCTTTTCATTATATTTAATAATTCTCTTAAAGATAATGTAAATTGTTAAGAAAATTGTTTTCTTTTAGTGCCTTTTGTAATGTTACATAATTTTTTCTTTAGCCATTATTGCCAGAATTCCTATCTTCATCCCAGTGCCGGTGAAGACAATGTAAATTGTTAAGAAAATTGTTTTCTTTTAGTGCCTTCTGTAATGTTACATAATTTTTTCTTTAGCCATTATTGCCAGAATTCCTATCTTCATCCCAGTGCCGGTGAAGACAATGTAAATTGTAAAGAAAATTGTTTTCTTTTAGTGCCTTCTGTAATGTTACATAATTTTTTCTTTAGCCATTATTGCCAGAATTCCTATCTTCATCCCAGTGCTGGTGAAGTCAAAGATAAAACCAATCTACAGCTTCTACAATAGCCATCACTGAACTGCTTGCAGAACTTGCCTGGACACATTGTGAGCTCACCTGTATGCATTGTGAACTATCTGTTGGTGCAGCCACTTGTGGTAGTGTTGGGGTATTTTTGCTGATGATGTCATTGGTGGTACAATTTTTCCAAAAGGAGCCGTCAATTGGCTTGGTGTATCTTCCTCCCTTCTGCTTGTCATGATCGTCCAGCTAAAATTTGGGGGCCAACAGAGGTGAGGCAAAGAACCTCACCCCCCCGCTGGTACAAAGACCTCTCCACAGGTGTGGCTGTATACTAGACCAGTAGTCAGTGACGGGTAAGATCCAATTGCAATGGTACCAACCTAAGGACCATATGTACTATTGGACAACCTAAGGCAGGCACGGTCCCTAAGCCACATGCTTGTTGTTTAAACAGAGAGGGGGAGATGTTGAGAGCCACAGCCGAAGGGGCCCCAGCAAGGCCCTGGGTTTGATTCCCAGCACCATAAAAAAATAAATAAAATAAATGTATTGTGTCCAATTACAACTAAAAATTTTTTTTTCTTAATTTCAGAACAGGCTGGTGGAGAGGAAAAGACAATACAGAGGAAAAATGAACAAAACTGATGATTCTACTTGGCGATTAAGTGACAAAGGGAAAAGTAAAACAGGAAAGTAAGATTGAGAATATGGTGAGAGGATGGTGGTGCTGATTAGGAAGGGCTCTCTGAGGGTTGGCACTGGGTGAAAGCCTGACCCAGGCTATCAACAGTTGTATTCCCAGGGAGCAGAATGTGGACTAAGTAGGGAGTGGCTCAGGATCAACAACACCTGCTGAGGAAGAAGCAGCAGCCAATGGGTGGAAGAAGTGGTTGGGCTGGAGTACAACAGAGCTCCAGCAAACCCAATTTCTACCCACCCTGGAGCTGGAATGACCCTTTAACTTGCTTGCCTAGCAGGTGTGAGGCCCTGAATTAAATCCCCAGTAGAGTCATGGAGACAGCAAGTGCAAAGCCCCTGAGACAGAATGAGCTAACGAGATCCAGAACATAGGAGACTAGTGTCGCTGAAGCTGTGTAAACAAAGGGGACATTAGCAGAGAACAAAATTAGAGGAACCAGTGTGGTGGTGCAATCTGTAATCCCAGATACAGGAGGATCGCAAGTTCAAAGCCAGCCTCAGCAATGGCAAGATGCTAAACAACTCAGACCCTGTCTCTAAAGAAAATACAAAATAGGGCTTGGGATGTGGCTCTGGTTCAGTGCCACTGAGTTAAATCCTTGTTACCAAAAAATAAAAATAATAAAAAATAGAGAGGATTGTAGCGGCCAGGTTACTACAAGGTTTGTGGTTTGACCCAGAAGCATCATGATTTAAACTTTACATTTAAATGTTGTCATGGGGGCTGAGGTTGTAGCTCAGAGGTAGAGAGCTCGCCTAGCACGTGCGAGGCCCTGGGTTCGATCCTCAGCACCATATAAAAATAAATAAAGATATTGAGTCCAACTACAACTAAAAATTAAATATTTTTTAAAATGTTGTCATGACTTTTTGGGCTGCTTTGTTAAGAATAGATTTGGCAGAGAAGAAGTTAAAGGCAAAAGCCAGAATGAGGAGTTTCTCAAACCCATCATCACTGACATTCTCTGGAAGGGGATAATTCTTTGTTATGGATACTTTTCAGAGTGGTGGGCCCCTCCCCTGAGTTAAACATCAGAAAATGTCTCCAAATATTGCCAAGTGTCCTTTGAACAGGCAAAACTGTCACCAGTCGGGACTCCCTGAGTTAAAGGTGCAAGGTTTCTTGTTGTTTGTGTTGTTTGGTTTGGTATTAGGGACTGAACCCAGGGTGCTTAACCACTTAGCCACATTCCCAGCCCTTTCTTATTTTTTTATTTTGAGGCAGAGTCTTGCTAAATTGCTTAGGGCTTCACTAAATTGCTGAAGCTGGCTCTGAACTTGCTATTCTCCTGCCTCAGCTTCCTGAGTCACTGGAATTTCAGGAATGTGCCACGACACCCAGCAGAGGTGTTTCTGTAACCAGGAAAGAGATGATGGTGGTTTGTGTCAGGGTAGATGTGCTGATGGTGAATTGTAGCATTCTGGATATAGTTTAAAGACTATGGTAGCTGATCAAAACATAGGGTGTTAAGAGAAAGGGAAGTATCAAGGATGAGTGCAAGGTTTTTGACTTGAGTAACTGACAGAAAACAATTCTGTTGGCAGAGCTTGAAAAGGGTGTGAGAAGCTGAGTATAGTGGTTCATGCCTGTGATCCTAGCTGTTCAGGAGACTGAGGCAGAAGGTTTGCAGTTCAAGGCCAGCCTGGGCAATTTAGCAAGAACTGATCTCAAAAATAAAAAGGACTGGGGTATGTAGCTCAGTGGAGGAATGCCCAAGTTTCAATCCCAGGTACAAAAAAAAAAAAAGAAGTGTGAGCAAAAGAGCTTTATATGAAATCAGTTTTGAACATAGAAAATTGAACAAATTGAAAATAATGATTAATAATGTTAGCTCCTTCCTGGAGTTTCTTTTTTCTAACTTTTAAATATATATGCTGAGAATTTAACACAGTGGTGCTCTACCACTGAAACACATTCCCAGTCCTTTTTTAAAAAAATTTTTGAGACAGGGTCTCCCTTAATTGCTGAGGTCAACCTCAAACTTGTGATCCTCCTGCCTCAGACTTCCTGAGTCACTGGTGATTACCTCCACTTTGATAATTTTCACTGTTATTTTTTATTCTTCTTTCCATAATTTTTCATTAATTTTGTGTTCTTTTGTACCCAGAACTCAATTGCTTCTTTCTTCTTTCGCTACTACCACCATTCACTTTTTAAAAAGTGTATAGCAAATTATGGTATTCAAAGTGTTTTCATATGCATTATTTGATCCTCACCACATTCCTGGGGAAAGGCAAGGCGCACATGCACATGCACATGTTTATCTCCAGTTTCCAGCTGAAGGAAAACCTACTGTGTACCACACTAACTACACAAAGGCTTCAGAGAGAGCACCACTTCTAAACCCCGACCCTCGTGCCACCATCATCCAGAGTCCACCGTTCTGTCTTCCTGTGCCTTCTCCCTCTCCTCGGCACTTCAGTCTCAACCTTGCAGACGGGGTGGTGACGTTAAAGTTGAAATCAATCTTGTCACTCAGGTGTCAAACCCGAAACCATTCAACTGCCTGAATCATCTCCCGTCTTTCATTCTTCAGCTCGGTAGATATTGGCTTTTAATACTAAGTTTCATTTGCCGAAGGGACAAACTGGGGAAAGCAAGGGCTGTACAGAGGAGCGGGCGTCCGAGGTGTGGCGAGATAGGGCCCGGTCTTTGCGACTCACTATCCAGTGCTTTCCAGCCCTGGCCCCGCCCCGCCCCGCCCCGCCCCGCCCCGCCCCGGACCCGGGCCCGCCCGGGCCCGCCCCCGACCCCCCAGCCGCCTGCATTTCCCAGGATTCTCAGGGGCTGGGCGGCCGGAAGGCTGTGCGCCCTCGCGGGGCATGATGGGGGAGTTGGAGATTTCCATCATGGCGGCTTCCATTTCGGGCTACACCTTCAGCGCTGTGTGTTTCCACAGCGCCAACAGCAACGCGGACCACGTAGGTGCCGGGCCCCGTGCCGCGGCCGCTGGGGGGACTTCGGCCTCCTTCTCGGACCAGCGCCCGCGGCCAAACCGGGACTGTTTGCGCCTTACCCGCCGGGCTCCGGGGCCGGCCCGAGGGCTGGTGACCCAGCGGCCCTAGCCCCCGGCTAGCTCCTTTGCCTCTGATGGGCCCCTGCACTCGGCGTCCCGGGTCCAGCAAACCTGTCGCACCCGGTCCCCCGCATGTCAGGAGTCGCCTGGTGGAAACTGAGTGCCTGCCCCGCCCTGAGTCAGGCTTCCATACTTAGAGGGGCCCCTGGGTCGGGAAGCAGTCGAGAGACCAGGCTTTTAGTCTGGGGTGAGAGGCACTGAGCTCCACCCGGCAGTCTTAACAGGTTGTCGTGAGGTACCACGAGTGAAACCACGGCTGTCACTGTTCAAACTTGCTAGACACGATTGTGTGTTTTCTTCACTCCTGTGGAAAATGGATAATGTAAACAAAAAATGTTAAATGCAGGTCTGTTTGCATTTCCTTGAAGTTGCATGTTTAGTTCCTTGTTGAATGTTCCAAGACCGCGGAACTAGTCCCAGTGAAATAGGGAAGTGACAGGCCCTGGTATGAGTGATCCAGAATGCTTAGGTTTTGTAGCCCACAGCGGGAGCAGAGCCTGTTTCAGTGAATTTATTTTGTGAATTGCCCTTTAATGTCATGGGCCTTTGGTTTGAAATTCTTCGTGAAAACTAGATAATTTTTCTCTTACAGGAGGTGTTTAATTTGCCCACCAAATTTGAGGATTATTTTAAGTGATGTTAACATGAATGATTCAAATTCATTAAATAAGTGTGTGGGGTTTTTGTGGTTGTCATTACAAAGCAAAATGATACCTCTCAGGATGAACTGGATTTAGCTTGACGTCAGCAGTCTTACCTTCCATTAATAAAAACTAATTTCACAAGTTGTTCCATTTGTAAATTGAATGGAATTAAGTTACTGTACTGTTTCATCAATTCAATGCTGGTAGAGATTAACGATAGGAATATATACAACATAAGGTTTTTCCTTTTGTACACTGGCCTCTGGTACTGTAGCCAACTATTTAATAATGTAATGCAGTTCAATATGAATGTGATTTGTAGTACTCCTACTGGCATAGACTATTAAAAATGGGTTCAGTGATGGATTCAAGTTTATTGTAAGAATAAGCAGCTATCTGTTGAAAAATGGAGTTTTGGGTTGGGGATGTAGCTCAGTTGGCAGAGTGCTTGCTTAGCATGCACAAGACCCTGGGTTCAATCCCCAGCACCACCAAAAAGGAAAATGGAGTTTTTCTATAAAGTGTGGTAAGATGGTCATTATGCTTAAACCATTATTAGTTTGATTTAGGAGCTGTTACCTTAATATCTACTCTGTGCCAGGCATGGTGCTAGACTTCATGGAAATTTTCACCAGTACTAGTTGTGTTTTATATGGCCATGCCTGTTTATATTAGCCTTGCCACCATTATGTATGTGGAATGCTTGAAAGTAATTTAGCTTTTAAAGTTGAAATAAAAGAGAGTTTACTTTCAAAATGCATACTTTTTTATCCAGGCAAGAAATTAATTTAAAACTATACATTACTCTGTAGAGCTAGGGTTAGCAAATTTTTTACCATAAAGTGCTAAATAGTGAAAAAAAATAGTAATTTTTTAAATATTTGAGAGCCATATGTTTTTTGTAGCAACTACTCATCTCTGCTGTTACAGGGAGAAAATGGCCATAGGAGTAAATAAATGAGGATGACTGTGTTGCAATAAAGCTTTGTAGACACTGAAATTAGGGGTGTACCCTAATTTCAGTGTCTACAAAGGGGAGGGAGGGTGTACCAGGGATTGAACTCTGGGGCATTCAGCCACTGAGCCACATCCCCAGCCCTATTTTGTATTTTCTTTAGAGACAGGTTCTCACTGAGTTGCTTAGCACCTCGCTTTTTGCTGAGGCTTTCAACTCTCTATCCTCCTGCCTCAGCCTCCTGAGTCTCTGGGATTATAGGCATGTGCCACCATGTCCGGCAAGAATTTCATGTAACATCATATAACAGTTCATGAACATCATTCCTATTTTTATTTTTCCAATTATTTAAAAATTTACAAACCATATTTATCTTGCAGTATATTAACAGATATTGGGGTGGATTTATCTCCCACTGTAGTTTGTCTGTTCCTAACATAAAATAATAATGAGATAGTCCAGACCAGTCACACTTGACTTTAGAACATTTTGATGTCACTATTAATTTATGTAACTGTTTCTTATACTGAGGACCATTATCATTGCCAGAAAAAAGAGCAGGACTCCAAGACCAGACATGGTGGCACATGCATGTAATCCCAGCTATCTGGGGGACTGAGGCAGGAGGATCACAAATTTGAGGCCAGGCTGCGCAGCTTAGTGAGACTGTCTCAAAATGAAAAGAGTTGAAAGTGTGGTTCAGTGATAAAACACCCTTTGATTCAACCCCCAATACCATCAAAACAAAACAAAAAGGCAAAACAGCAAGTTAAATTTGAATTTCAGATAAACAAGAAGTAAATTTTATGTAATACTTAGATTACCTGTATTCTAAACATTATTTGCTATTTATCTGAAATTCAAATTTAACTGGATGTCCTATATCTTTTTTGCTAAATTTGGGAGCCCAGGACTGTAGAAATCTAGGAATCTAGCTGTGTTCTTAAAGTATGAAGTTTTAGGGAAGATTAAGTTGATTTTTTTTTTCACTTCAATTAAAATTTTTTTTTTGCTTGTTACAAGGTGAAGCTTTTTGTAGTGGGAACTCAAAATTGAAAGACTTCATAGGGTAAGGCAAGCTTATTTAGTTGGTGTTTCTCAAACTGATAGTCGTGGACATGGGTCTGAGAGGATTTTTTTTTTTTTTTTAAAGAAATCCAGTTATCACTCAAATTTCAGAAATGCTCTGGGGGCCGGAGTTGTAGCTCAGTGGTAGAGCACTTGCCTAGCATGTATGAGGCCCTGGGTTCGATTCTCAGTACCGCATTTAAATAGATGAATAAAATAAAGATCCATCAACATCTAAAAAAGCTATTTAAAAAAAAATAAAGAAATGCTCTATATGTGATAATTTGGGATTTTAGAATATCCCCCTCCCCAAATCAAATAAAAAGTAAAGCTGTAAAACATCTCTTTCCTCTCATTCCCACAGAGTTGCACTTCTTGCTGGAAAAAAACTAGGAAGCCTCTGCAATTGATTTCATGGATCAATCTAGAATTGAAGAGAATATAGTACAAGGATACATTGATTCAACTAGTTTTTGTTGAGCACTTACTAGTTGTTAGGCATTGTAATGTGGTGATTTAGCAGTAAACAAGCACAAAATACTTTCTCTTATGGAGCTTATATTTTTAACAGGGAAAGGCATTTATTTATTTCTATAAATATCTAATATGGCAGAAGATTTCTTTCTTTTTTTTTTTTTCATCTTGGATGGAACATGCTAAGTAAGCACTCTACCACTGAGCTACAGCCCCAGCTCAGATAGTGAGAAAAAGCATGCAGGGTAAAGGGGACAGATGCTGTTTCCCTTGTGTGTTTGGACAAAGCATATCTGATGAGATGCCATTTGGGTAAAGACCTGAATGAAGGAAGGGGGGAAGCCATGGCAGTATCTGGGGAGAGAGATGCCAGGACAGCTGATCAGTTCTTCCTTTCTATGGGAAGTTATTCTGAGATGTAAGGTGTATCTTCTCCAACTGTGCTTGTTCTTGTGCAACAAGTACTAGGACAGTAGTAATCCAGTTCAGTTGTGGTGATGGGCATTCTCCAAATATATACATAAATTATGCACTTATTTTAAAAACTCTTTCATGTGAATTGTATGAGTTTATTTACTGAAATTTTAATTTCTTATGCCAGCCTATTTAAGCGCACTTAATTTCCATTATATGAACTCTCCCCCAACCTCCCTCAGTTCCCCCTGCCACTGGGGATGGAACCCAGGGGTTCTGTACTGTTGAGCTACACCCCCAACCTTTTTAAAATTTACTTTGAATAGGGTCTTACTATAGTTGCCTAGGCTGACCTCGAACTTGCAATCCTCCTGCCTCAATCTCCTGAGTAGCTAGGAGTACAGGCATTCACTACTGTGCTCAGCTTGTATTAACTTATTTGTCTTTTAATCATTAGCAAGGGTTTTAAAGCAATGTAGTAAATTTTATGATGTTTCAAGAAAACAACCTTTAGATAGTTCCGCTTCCTAAGCTTTTCTGACATTGTTTGTGAGACTTAGTAGTAGGATTTAGGTGATAAATTCCCCCCAAAAAAAAATAACAGAGAAGATTTCAGGGATTAAAATTAGATTTTATCTTGTTATGAATCCTTTGTTCATATAATCCCATTAATATATATACTTTGATTGCTCTAGTCTACTCATTGGTTTATAACTAGTAGTTTACATGGCAAGCTTATTTGAATTATTGATGAAATTATTATAAAATTATATATCCTAAATTCCTAATTTTAGTAAAAAAATCAGTATTTAGCCTGTGACTGTTTTCTTTTGTCTCTTTTAGGAAGGATTTCTGCTGGGAGAGGTAAGACAAGAGGAAACCTTTAGCATCAGTGACTCACAAATCAGCAACACAGAATTTCTGCAAGTAATCGGTAAGTAAATTTATCACTGACCTTAGAAATATCCTACTGTTGTTTTGTTCTTTGGCTCTTAAAAACTGATTTTAATCTCAAATATTAAAAGAATACATAAAAAAATAAAAGTATTAGCCTTAGTGGTATATTTTGTGTTACTGTAAGCTTACAGTGTATAACTTAAGTGTAGGTTTCCTATAGAACTATCTTTACTCACCAACTGATCTTTTACTGAATCATTATGTGACCTCTTGATAGTCTCTTCAAAATCACAGTGAACCTCAAGTTTGTCCTTTAGGCTCTCCCCATTGCCAGTGTCACCTCATATTATAACGAATGGATGTGTTATGTTGATCCTTCCTAAGAGGATCTGACTTTCACACTTGTTTACAAGAGATGTTTGCTCCATTTGCACAGTCTTCTGAGGGACACACTCAAGAGTCCCTTTTGGGGAAGGTTGCTGGGGAAGAGGAGGGAGTGTTAACAAATGCACCCACTCTCCTCAAATCAGTTTCCTTTTGATAGATAGAAATTGTGGTCCTTTCAAATATACTTCGAGCAGATCATTAAGCAGCACATCCTTATACACAGAGCAAAGCAAGGGGTACCTTCATTTTCAGCAGACACTTAATAAAGAACTTCCATGTGTGAGGCTTGTGCTAGGCACAGAAAGGAATACCCAGATTCAGCCCTGCCTTCCAGAACTGTGGGGAGTACACAGAAGTACCTGACAGTGCAAGATAAACTCTGTAAGACACAAAACCCCATAAGTGTCTGAAGTTGAGAGAAAAACTGCTAGTGGGGAAATCATTAAGGACATCTTGAAGGAGGTGAAGTTAGGGCCAGTGGGCTGTACCTTTAGGGGAGCCCAGCAAGGAAGAATAAAACACACATGACATCTGACCTGTTTCTGTGTGACTAAAACAGGATATTTGAAGATGAGTGATTTGTGGTTTGAAATACTACTGGTGGGCTACGTCACATTGGGACCAAATCATCAGTTTTAGATCTGTTCTGATAGCCTTCTAGTGCATGGATTGTGAGGCAAGAGTGAGGATTGAGCTGGGGTTAGAAATGGGGAAAACCAAGTGCCTGAACTGACTCTAAGTCACAATTGTAAAATGCCACTCACCACAACACTGCCCTGCTAAGAAAATACTTGTTATATGTACAGAGTATAGTCAATCTTTCATTGAGGGATTTTGTTTTTGTTTTGCTTAATTCTTTAAAATTCTAAAACAGAATTTTGTTTTATAGACCATCTACGTAGTGATTTATTATTTCCATATGGGTTTTCAAAATTAATCTGGAAAATGAAAGTTAAATTGCCAGATATAGTTAACTAACAGCAAAATCACATTCCTGATGAATAGTCTAGTTATTTATTTATTTATATTAATTTTTTTAGTTGTTGATAGACCTTCATTTTACCTATTTATACGTGGTGCTGAGAATCAAACCCAGTGCCCCACACATGCCAGGCAAGTGTGCTACTACTGAGCCTCAGCCCTAGCCCCTCTAGCTATTTATGTTTTAAAGAAACAAAATGGTAATTAAAAATTTTCCATCCAAATAATTAAAATTCTATGTAGGATAATATTCTCATACTTTGGGGCTGGGGGTGTGGCTCAAGCGGTATCGTGCTCGCCTGGCATGCGTGCGGCCCGGGTTTGATCCTCAGCACCACATACAAACAAAGATGTGTCCGCCAAAAACTAAAAAAAATATAAATGTTAAAAATTTTAAAAAAAAAATATTCTGATACTTTGTAAACTTTCTGGTTCTTCTTCTTCTTCTTTTTTTTTTTTTAACTTTCACTTTATTTATTTTTATGTGATGCTGAGGATCAAACCCAGTGCTTCACACGTGCTAGGCAAGCAGTCTACCACTGAGCCACAACCCCAGCCCAACTTTCTGGTTCTTGACCAACTTCCCTGGTATCATAGAGAGAAATACCCATCAGTAAAGCGTTTCAGTTAATAAAGTGCCAAGACAACCATTTTTTAGCTGTATAATATTTAATTATTAGCTATATTCAGTTTATTGATTAAAACAATTCTAGATCTCATGGACAGATTGTTTGCTAATATATTAAATGTATTGTTACTATTTTGATGTTTTTCTTCTAAAAATAAATAAATATTTGAAAATGTAAACCAAGGATGCTAGAAAACCTGTTTGAAAGTTCAAACATGAGGTTGAGTGTCATGGTAGTATTCCCTACTAGGATCAGGATATTTTCTAGTATAGATGGCCTTCCAGGATAAGGTGTTTTAAGTAAAATAAATTGGTCAGATTTGTTGCTTATTGAAAATGTCTAAATCCAATTACAGGCACCTTTTACCTTACCCTTTGCAATAAGGAGGATTTTATATAGAATATCACATTTTGAACATAGAATGACTGCATCTCATTTTGAATACATACTCATTTAAGAAGTTGTACTAATTCATTTCAATCAGAGCTGTTTACCATAGGAATGGTAGGGAGGAGGCAGGAACAGAAAAATGTCCTCAGGTAGTGAGGATAGCTATTAGCAAAACTCATCGACAGTAATAGAAGGGGGAAGATGAGGAAGTGTTCAACTCAGCAACCAGGAAGAAAAACAAGAATAATGTAGCACCTAGTGAGAAGTTTTAACAGGATCTTCATGGTACAGGAAGAGTCATCTCCTGTGTGGATTTGCTGTTGAGGTATGGAAAACTGGAAGTCCCAAGCAAAGCTGCCCAGCCTTTGCCTGCTTTCCAAGGTCCACCTGTCACTTAACATGTCCCCTAACTTTGTTTCATTCTATAGCTTTGTGGAGTTTGAGATCAACACCCTGTTTTTTCCCCATGAAGTGCTTAGTGTTACACAAAATCTTAAGAAAGCTTTAATTTCCTGCAGCAAATACCACATGGTATCTATCTAGAGCTAGGCAAGCACTCTACCACTGAGCTGTCCCTAGCCTTGGAGCGTGTGTTTCTAATCTGAGTTGTAAATTATGAAGGAAACTGCTGGGGCGGCTTGACAGGAGTGTGCATTCAGAGTTCAGAACTTACTCCAGGGATTTTATTAAACAAAATCTTCTTTCTTTAAAGCAGAAGATAGGTTTTTCTTTTCCATGAACTCTAAGTAAGATTTTTGCTACAAATGTTCTGCATCTCTAATGGTATCTCTGAAATAAACTACAGTGGTGTGCTGGATCAGTTAGTGATGGAACAGGTTAAATACTTCTAGATGAGGTTTTCTTATTTGCATCACTATATCAACACCATAGGTAAACTAATTAATTACCTTCTTTCCTGTGGAAGTTTTGCATTTATGCATGAGTTTTGGCAGCATTAACTCAAGTACAGAAACTACTTGTTTTTAAGGCCTTAAAGGCTGTAGTTTCATTTGTAGTCAGGTAAAGTTGCTCCCTAAACTGAGGCTGTGGCTTCTTAAACAGCAGATGATTAATTGTCTAAGAGCATATGATAGAATTGAATGGTCAGTGAGTCTCACAATCTTAGGAAACCCAGCTCCTAAGCCCCCTGAGGAGCTTGGAGAAATGTTCACTCTGCTGACTCATAGCAGCTTTTTAGAAGTTGTTAGAATCTGCCTTATAAATGACCATCACTCTCAGCAATGACCGCTTTGAAAGGGTTAATAGACTTCCAGAATTCCTTCCCCTTCAAAACACCTGGCCCAAGTTGTCATGAGTTGTTAGTTGATTATTAATGGTAGAATGATTAAGGCCTTTCTCTCCCTAAGCTGTCCTCAAAGCTTTTATCTAATTTGATTAAATGCTTCCAGTCAGTGGTTACTTTTTCCTGTGATTCTTTGTTTAAATAGGTAAGATTGAATAAGGCACACAATAGCTGTGAGTTCCTGAATAAGAGCTTTCAGATGTGTGCTCATCATATGCGGACAAAGGAAAACAGAACTTTCATTCTCCAGTCTACTTTGTTTGAGAATGTGTCTCTGGGTATAACTGCTCAGAAGCCACACTGCCTTCCCTAGTATATACACAGCACCTGTTTGTGAGAGGAAGACTGTCTTTTTATTGTCTGAGATTTTTTAGTTTAAAAAATCCTGAGCTATTTGATAGCTGCCTGTGTCTTACATGATCAACTGAAATGTATTCCTCTTTCTGATTACAGAAATCCATAACCATCAGCCTTGTTCAAAACTTTTTAGGTAAGCCATGTCCTCCTTTTTTTTTTTTTTTTTAATTTCAATTTTAGTATTTTGGGTACCAGGGATTGAACCCAGGGGTGCTTAACCACTAAGTCATATCCCCAACCCTTTTTATTTTTGACACAGTGTCTCACTAAGTTGCTCAGATTGGCCTTGAACTTGTGATCTTGCCTCAGCCTACAGAGTTGCTGGAATTACAAGTGGTACCCACCTAGTGGCCACATCCTTCTTTAAGAAGAGTTTAGCACTCATTAAAAGGATTGATTAAAAACAAGTGAATGAGCTGAGAGAAATTAAAAATGTTCAGTGGTCAACTTAAAAATCTAAGGAAAGGAGCTGGACACAATGGCATGCACTGGAGTCCTGGCTACTTTGAAGCTGAGATAGGAAAATTGCTTCAGCCTAGGGGTTTAGAACAAACCTGGGCAACATAGCAAGACCCATCTCAAAAAAAAAGAGCAAGGAGGGCTGGGATTATGGCTCAGTGGCAGAGCACTTGCCTAGCACGTGTGAGGCACTGAGTTCGATCCTCAGCACCATATAAAAATAAATAAAGGTATTGTGTCTATCTACAATTTTAAAAAAAGGGAAAGGAAACATAAAACTTTCTTTTTCTGTTCATTTAAGTTAATATATTGCCAGTTCCATATTGTAACCAACTAAAGGACAAAAATAGAAAAAAAATGGGAAGAGAAACAATCAAAACAGAGAAAGCAAACAGCAGTGAGCTATATGGAGGAAAAGGATGAGAAAGAGGAAGTCCAGTATTCTCCATACATTGGATTTCTCCGACACCACTACCCAGGCCTCTGTCTTCTTTCTCAGCCCAAACCCTTCCACCTGATGGCTGGTATGATCTCAGCTTTGGGTTTCTCTAAATTTCCTGAGGCCTGATTCCCGCTTCCCAGAAGCCAGGCCAGTGCTTCTTCCATTTGCTCATATGGAATGCAGTGAGCACCTCCGTTTTCTATCTCTAGGGCCCTTCTTTATGGTGATTGCTATATGTGTTCCCTGCAGCTTTCACCCTGACCACACCCTGCATCCCTTATATCCAAGCACCTCAGGGGCCTTGTATCATGTTCACCCCACACATATATACCCCTACCCATGGATTGTTTCAGAGTATTATCAGCATGCAAGGTGACTACCTACAAAGAAAACCTCAAAGTAGCCAAGAACCTCACCTCTTTTAGATTCACCCATATTGTAAAAGAAGTGTAGGGAGCTAGATGAACAACCATGGGTTCATTGAAAAAAAAAAAAAAGCAAATGAAATCATTCAGGCCCAGCCCATATGTTGCCTCTCTCTGGCCTGTGGAAGTATCTGATCTGGGCCTGTCAGAGCTTTTTTTGGTACCAGGAATTATACTCAGGGGTGCTTTCCACTAAGCTACATGTCCAGCCCTTTTTATTTCTTATTTTGAAAAGAGAGTCTCACTAAGTTGCTGAGGCTGGCCTCAAACTTGCAATCCTTCTGCCTCCCAAGTCATTGGGATAACAGATGTATGCCACTCTGTGCAGTTTCTGCCTCACCTTTCTGAGAAATTCTTTAAAACACTCTAAGCAAAGTAAAACCAGAACAAGGATTTGACTGAGTTTAATTCAGAGATTCATCATTTTTTATTTATTTTTGTATGTGGTGCTGAGAATGGAACCCAGTACCTCATACATACGAGGCAAGCGTTCTGCCACTGAGCCACAATCCCAGCCCCAAGATTCATCATTCTTAAAGCTGAAAGAAACCATAGAAATCATCAGTCTTTTTCAAACTCTTTGTCTTGTTAAAAAAAAAAAGAGTTAGAGACCAGATAGGCTGTAACTTGTCCCAGATCCTACAATGAGAAACAAAACTGGGGCTGGAGCTGCTGTTTTCTGATTCCTGAGTCAGTGTTTTTCCCATATCTTGAACTTCTTCCTGTCTTTATGGCTTGGGAGGAGGTCGATGGTGTGCAGAGACCCATGAGCAGAAATAGAAAAGGCCGGCACATCAGTACACCTGGGTTGCTCACCACAGGAAACTGGTCATGTTGGTCTTTTTTTTTTTTTTTTTTTTTTTTTTTAGTTATAGGTGGACATAGTACCTTTATTTTATTTATTTATTTATTTTTATGTGGTACTGAGGATGGAACCCAGTGCCTCTTCCGTGCTAGGCAAGTGCTGTACCACTGACCTACAACCCCAGGCCCACATTGGTCATTTTGGAAGGGAGCACATTGACACTACCCAGGTGTGGCTTCAAATTCTAGCCCTTCCATCTACTAGCTCTGTGATTGGAGCAAATCAGTCAACTTCACTCTGTTTATCTACAAAAATGGGAATAAAGTTTGTTGAATTATTGAGCTGAACTCATATCTCCCGGCACTGAAGCAGGAATGATGAGAAATGAAATGAGAAAACATGTGGCTTTGTGACGTGAAGCATTCAGCCAGTGTTCAGTTCCCATCTTCATGTCTCAGCAAATGAAGTATTCTTATCTTTTTTTTCCATAAATAATTGATACTTAGAAAAGAAGAAAAGATGCCACAGCCATTTGAAACCTCATGTTTTATACTGACTTGCTTTCGGCACCTCCCACATGTGGAAGTGATATCTTTAGAATGTAGCAAACTCTTGAGTAGTCTTTGATATAAAAAATACTATGTATTAGGGAAGTATTTAGACAGATTATCACTCTTTGTATACCTTTGAAGGCAAGGAATTATATATTTATTAGAGTTAGGTGCCCCATAGACATCTGTAGCTAAGCACGTTCATGTCATGGTATTATGGAATTTTAATAATTTTTTTTCTTCTTTTAAAAAAATAGTTTTTATGACTACGCAAGCAAAGTTAATGAAGAGAGTTTGGACAGGATTCTTAAAGATCGGAGAAAGGTATGTTCTATTTGTTGCCCAGTCTGATATGGGAATAGTTCTTTATCTTAACACCTAAACTTAAAAACAAACAAAATGCAACAGTGAAGAGTCAACACTGATATGAGAGTTCTGTCACCTTAAGCAGATTCTAAAGGTAATTTGTGATTATGGATGTAAAACAATGGTTACAGTATATTGATAGAAGAAAATTCAGTGTTTATAGTATGATTCCATTAGGTAAAAATCAGAAATAAAAAGTGAACTATAATCTGGAAAGTTAAGAATAGTTCAGTTGATCTAGCCATGTGTGGTGGCACATGCCTGTAATCCCAGCGGCTCGGGATGCTTAGGCAGAAGGATCTGGAGTTCAAAGCCAGCGTCAGAAAATTAGTGAGGCCCTAAGTAACATAATAAAACCCTGTCTCTAAAATTATTTTTAAAAGGGCTGGGGGATGTGGCTCAGTGGTTAGGCTCCCCTGGGTTCAATTCCCCAGTACCAAAAGAAAAATAACAAAGAGTAGTTCAATTGACTCTGGTGATTCATTCTTTCTATTGTATAATTTAACAAATAATTTGGCAAATACTTAATACAGTCTTGTAATCAGAAAAACTATTTTTAAAAAATGTAAATTGCAATCAAACATCTTTGGATATGTTTAAATTTGAACACAGATGTTTTTCCAAAAGTCATGTATTTATTATTTCCATCAACATACACATGTGCTGTTCTGGTTGTATATGGTAAGCAAGTCTGAATAAAACTGAAAATGAACCAGATTTTACTGCTGCAGTATTGTCTGATGAGTTTTTTGCTTTGAGATATTTCAGAAAAAACAGATTGGTTATTAAACAATTAGAGGGGGAAAAAAGTACCAGTGAAAACCCTTAGCTTGTCAAACAGAGAGCAAAATGCCTTTTTTATGGGGCTGGAGGGAGGTACTGGGGGTGGAATCCAGGACCTTGCATAGGCCAGGCAAGCACTGAGGTGCACCAACCAACAATATGCTTTTGTTGAAGGGTTTCAGGAGTAAGTGCAGTTATATCACATCAGCAGCCTAGTGCCACTGCTGGGTACATTCTATACCATGTAAAGGAAGAAAGAAAAGCAGGGAAAAATAAAAGAAAGAATAGGAAACTTGGAAAGATATAGGTCTGAGGACAGGAAAAATGGCAGGAGGTGCACACTCCTGGTGGTCCAACCACGCTGCCTGCCCAGCTAGCAAAGGGTATTAGAGCAGCCTCGGGCCTCTCTCATTTTCAGTGGTATGCCCAGGGGCATACATTCTGGAATCTCCCAGCAGTTCATCTCTCAGATGCCACTTTACTTCCTCTTTCATTTTTATATGGTAGATTGTGAGCCTTTATTATGCTTTCTAAAATTAAAATTTTTTCCATAGAAATTCTTATTGGAGCTTTAAGTAGTTTAAAAATTTTTAAGTGATAAAAAGGACTAAAGAAATTGAATAGGAAATTCACAAAAGAAAAAAATCTACAGACAGCCAAGAAGTCAGTGAAAAGATGTTCCACTTCAGTCAGCAAACACAGATTGAACCAGGTGAGATGCCATTTTTTGCCCATCGGATTGGCAGGAGAGTAAAAGGATTGATAATGGCCAGTACTGAAAAGGTGAGGGACACGGGGAAGCAGCAGCTGGTAAATGTAAGTTGACATGATGGGAGGACGATTTTATGATAACAGTTTTAACTATACAGTCCCGACTCTAGAAATCTTCCCCCACCCCACCCCGCAAAAAATTAGTGTATCTGAGCACAAAGATGGAAAGTGCTGTCATTTTTAAACAGTTTAACTCTGTTCTGGGTCACATTCTATGCACTCTTCATGTATTGACACACTTCATCCTTGCAGCAGCTCTGTAAAGCAGATTTTACACTTGAGACAAACGGGGTTAAGTGATTTTGTTGTTAATGGTGGAGCCAAGGTGTAAACCAGACAGTCTCTTCTCTTGGTCTGGGGTACAGGATGTTTGTTGCTTCAATGGTGAATAGTGAGGATTTTTTTTTTTTTAATAATTTTATTTTTTTTGTTGTAGTTGGACACAATACCTTTGTTTTACTTATTATTTTTATGTGGTGCTGAGGATTGAACCCAGGGCTTCGCCACAATCCCAGCCCCAAATAGTGAGGATTTTAAAAGCAACCTGAACATATACCAGTTTGGAATGATTAAGTCAGTTATGTTGGTACCTCCTTATTATGGGATTCAAAGCAGCCATTAAAAAGAATAAGGGAGAGTCTTTTTGTTTTTGTTTTGTGATACTAGAGATCAAACCCAAAATCTGTTCATGCTACGCAAGCACTCTACTGTTAAGGTATATCCCCATCTTTTTTCACTTTATTTTGAGACAGAGTCTCCCTAAATTGCTTAGGATGGTCTTGAGTTTATACTCTTGCCTCAGCCTTGTGAGTTATGGGTATTGCAAGTATTCACCATCACACTCAGCTATGAGGGAGGTTTTCATTTAATGACACAAAATGATCTCTAAGTTATGTCAAGTGAAAAAATGTGATTTGTTTATTTTTGGGGTGATTTTTATTTTTGTTTTGGAGCTGCAGATTAAACCCAGGGCCTTGTGCATGCTAAGCATGTGCTTTACATCCTAGCTCCAGGAAAAAGCTATAATACAATTTGAGCCCATTTTATGTAAAAACAAAAGTCTAAGGTGAGAGTTCAAACACAGAGAAAAAGATCTGGGAGAAAGTCAGCCAAACTTAGAAAAGGAAGAGTGGGAAAAGGGTAGAGATGCCTCTAATGAAGAGAAACTTTGGTTTTTTTTAATGATCTTATATTTTATAATTGAAAATAAATTGGAAAAAAGAAAAGGACTCCTCTGTTTAATCTTTTCAGTAAAGGAAGTTACACACTTCAAATTAATTTAGGGATTTTTGAAATAGGATTTGCTAAAGCAGGGGGAGTGGCACACATCTGTAATTCCATCAATTCAGGAAGCTGAGGCAAAACATTCGGAAGTTCAAGGCCAGCCTAAGCAATATGGCAAGACCCTGTCTTAAAATTTATAAAATAAGGTCAGGTGCAGTGGCACACTCCTGTAATCCCAGCAGCTTGAGGAGGCTGAGACAGGATGGGTCTTGAGTTCATAGCCAGTTGCAGAGCACTTGCATGTGTGAGGCACTGGGTTCGATCCATAGCACCACATTAAAAAAAAAAAAAAAAAAAAAAAAATTAAGGCATGCTGTCCAAGTACAACTACAAAAAAATTAAAAAAAAAAAAAAAGCCAGCCTCAGCAATAGCCAGACACTAAGTAACTCAGTGAGACCCCGTCTCTAATAAAATACAAAAATGGGGCTGGGGATGTGGCTCAGTGATTGAGTGCCCCTGAATTCAATCCCTGGTAACACCCCACCCCACCCCCGAAATTTACAAAATAAATGAATGAAATAGGATTTGCTGGTTTGAGACACAGTAGACCATTCATTCGTTGGTTATTGTAATTGACTGCTTTTCCTGGAACCAAGAGTTAAAGTTGAAAGTTGATCTGCTTTATTTTTATTTTATTTTATGGAACTTTGTGCTAAAATAAATGTTTTCTTTGCAAAATATATGTTTGTTGCATTCCTTACATTACTTGGAAATTATGTTCTGTTTTTCATGAAATTTGTTGTGAGCAGGAACTGTGTTTTATTTCATTGTATTTCCTGTGCTACTTGTAGAACTCTACAAGGAATGGGTTTTTTGTTTGTTGGCAGGGGATTGAACCCAGGGCCTTGTGCTTGCTAGGCAAGTACTCTAGCAACTGAGCTATATCCCCCACTTCTAGAAGGATTTTTTTTTTCAAAAATTCAAATTTCTAGCTCAAAAGCAGTAATGATGTATAATATTTAGATGACAGAAAAACCTTTACAGTTGATTCTAATTTGGATTATTTTTCCCCCAGAAAAGGCACTGAGTTATACTTTTACCTCAAAAGGGTGGTGTACTACCTCCTAAGGTTCATTTAGAATGTTGGGGTTGAGACAGAAGTGAATATTGTTGACATTAAGATATCCCAGTAGGGATAGTATAGTCAGGGGCTGATTCGCTATTTTGTCAGAGTCCATATTGTGTTTGTGAAGTTTCCATGGGCTTTCAGGTTTAGGCGAAGGCCAAACGGCAAGGGAGAAGGAGGACTTCTATCTTCCCAAAGCATCAACTCTGAAATCAATAACAAGAAGCATAACAGCCATCCTAATATCCTTAATGACCCACATGGCACAAGCTAAAGCCAGTGAATGTGCCTTTTATTGAGGTAGTTGCTTTGGCTCCAGAAAATATAAGTGAATGTCAAAAAGAAAGAAGAAAGTCTGTGTGGAAAAGCGATTATGAAGCATCAGCCGAGATGAAATGTAAGGAGAGAGAGCTGTGATTCTTCACCATCATCTAAGAGGTGCTTTTTAACACAATGACCTAGTTTCTCAGTAATCTTGCAACTAGTTTGTCTGTTAGCTCTAAGAGGTAGAATTGTAAATACCAATAGTACAAATTAATTTGGCAGCTCATTCTTCATTGATCAGAATGTCAGGAGAATCAATCAGTTTAAAACTTTTGGCAAATGTCAGATCAATTGGTTACTATCAGTCAATAACTGACATAAAGTTCCTGCTTCTTAGAAAATACAAACAAATAAAAACAGTGAGAATCAGCATCACTGAAAAGCACTATTACTTATCCTATAGTCGCTTGCAAGGTTCTGTTTATCAGTGAGTATTTTGTGAAAATAGCCAGTGTGCTGAATGCCGCTAGTCTTTGCAGGGGGACAGAGGCAATATGAGTCATGCCCCAGTCCTGTAGAGGAGTTAGTTCCAACAGTTAATACAGAGGATTGAGTGTTGGAATGAAGTGTACCATATTCTCGTACATTGATAGCTCTAGCCAACAGATAGGTTTCTATACACTTTTTCTTGAATAGAAAACTACTTTTACCTTTTTCATCATGTTAACTAACTCAGAATTTGAATCTCTGTTTTGCACAACAGGAGACAGGCAGCCAAGTTCCACACCATGACGGTCACTCAGTTGTATGACTTTGGAGAAAACAATTCTTAGAGTTTACCTGGAAAGAAAGGAAGATTTGGCACAGGAATTCAGCAATAATTAGTTTACTTTCTTTATATGAACACGGTGCCAGAATATGATTTAAATTTACTATTAATTTAATATGACACTAATGGTTTTAAACTACCTTACTACTACTTTTTTTTTTTTTTTTTAACCAGGGATTGAACCCAGAGTGCTTACCCACTGAGCCAGATTCCCAGCCCTTTTTTATATTTTATTTAGAGATAGGGTCTCGCTGCGTCAGCCTCCCAAGCCTCTGGGATTATAGGTGTGCGCCACCATGCCCAGCCTCTACCTTACTTTTGTGTTTGTGTGGGTGAGGAGTACCAGGAATTGAACTCAGGGGCGCTGGACCATTGAGCCACATCCCCAACCCTATTTTGTATTCTATTTAGAGACAGGGTCTCACTGAGTTGCATAGCACCTCATTTTTACTAAGACTGGCTTTGAACCCGTGATCCTCCTGCCTCAGACTCCCAAGCTGCTGGGATTACATGCGTCCTTGCTTCTTAAAACACAATGTTTAGTCAGTTTATTTCAAAGCACAAAGCTTTATGAAGATGGTTGTTCTAATAAAGGATTAAGTTGTTTCTACAACAGAGATTTTCAAATGTCAGTATGCAAAAGAAAAACTCAAGGAACTTCTCTGAAATTCAGAATCCTGGCTATATCCTAAGAGGCTGATTCTGCAGATTTGGGTGGGCCCAGATTTGGGTGGAATCTACATGTTGACATGCTCTCAGATGTCTCTAGAGTCTGTCTTCTGGGTATTCAGAAGGTCACATCCTGAGACATATTCTTCTGAGAGTTTAATTCATGTAGCTGGTTTAGTTATGTTATAGTTAAAGCTGATAAAGGTAAACTTTTAAAATAGGTTTTGGGGTATAATTGGCATACAGAAAACATCACATGTGTAGAGTATATGTTTGGTCAGTCTGATATGTGTACACACCCATGAAACTATCACCTTAATTTAATAGTGAAATACCCATCACCTTTACAAGTTTTCTCATGCCCTTTTCTAATTTTTCTTTCTTACCTCTGGCCACCTCCAACCTTGTCAACCACCAAACTACTTTATGTCACTGTGAATTAGTTTTCATTTTCTGGAATTTTATATAATAGACTTTTTTGCTGAGTATAGTGGTGCATACCAGTAATCTCAGCTCTTTGGGAGGCTGAGGCAGAAGGATTACAACTTCCAGGTCAGCCTCAGCAATTTAGTGAAACTCTGTTTTGAAATAAAAAGGATTGAGGGTGTAGCTCATTGGTAAAATACCCCTAGATTCAATCCCTAATGCCAAAATAAATTAATAAAAATAATTTTTAAAAACTGATTCATATACTTACTTTGGACCTAGCTTTTTTCACTCAGGGTAATTAATTTGGGATTCATCCATGTTGTAGGTGCCAGTAGTTTGTTCCTTTTTATTATTAAGATATTCTACAAATTGTAGTATATCCAATATTATTATTAATATTGTGAATATACCACAATTTGTTTATCTTTTCACTTGTCGATGGACAATTGGGTTGTTTTGAGTTTGGGACCATCACACATAAATGTTTGAACATTTGTGTACAAGCCACAAATTATATATGGAATATAAAATTAAATCTGTAAGATTTCATGTAACTTTTAATACATTCTTTTGTTTTTTTTTTCCAGAAAGTTATTGGGTGGTACAGATTCCGGCGAAACACACAGCAGCAGATGTCATACAGAGAACAGGTTATCCATAAACAGCTTACCCGCATCCTTGGTGTGCCTGACCTCGTCTTTCTTCTCTTTAGCTTCATCTCCACTGCCAACAATTCCACTCATGCTTTAGAATATGTTCTCTTCAGACCAAATCGCAGGTAAAGAACATTTTCCCACCAGCTTTACATAAAGAGAAAGATGTTGACACAATAATTGAGATTGATGACTTTGAAAATGTGCTTTATAGTGCATATTACAGCATTTTTAAAGAAAAGTTTTTATTATTCTTGTTAACTAGTTCTCCTTGTAGTTAAAGAAGTTTGTTTTCCGTGTCAGTTATTCCTGTAAGTTAAAGTGGTTTGGGATCAGTAAACATTAGCAAGACATGTTTATCATGCATAAATTCTTACAGAAGTAAAAATAAATCATCATTTGCTTCTCCATAATCCATTATGTTAAAATGCAGTTTTATTGCTTCAAGTAATTTTAGAACATAGACTTCAAGGACAAAATTGTAAAATTGGTCCACCTACTGGTTAATGAGGGTTTTGCATTGTGAACTTGTTAAAGTGAGAAAAACATATAATTATATGATCATGTTTGCCTGTAAATTGCAGAAAGCTCTCTCTCTGGAAAGTCCCTTATAGTAGAGTAAGTTAAATTGAGATCAGTGAAAATAATCATTCATTGTGAAATAACTATTTGCAAGATTTCCCTAATTATTTCATAGGTATCTCTTTAGCACTTTTCAGTTGATATGGGGATGCAGAAGGTATATAAGATATGACCTCTGCCCTCAAGGAGTTTGTAGTTGAGTTTCTACATTAAGGGAAGAGAAAAATTGCTAATTCATGCCTCCTTGAGTTGTCCATAGAAGTAGGTGCCCCTGACACCTTCCATTAGTTTACCAAAGTCAGAGACTAAGAATCCTATTGCCAAGCCCCAATCTTGTTATATGTATTTTGTTTATATGATGCTAGGGATAGGACCCAGGGCCTTGTACATGCTAGGCAAGCACTCTACCACTGAGCTATGTCCTCTGCTCCGAAAGCCCATTCTTGAAATGGCTCTTTTAAATCTAGGCAAGGTGGCTCATACTTGTAGTCTTAGCACTTGGGAAACTCAGTCAGGAGGATCATTTGAGCCTATGAGTTTGAGATTAGCCTGGGCAACACAGCAAGAGATGTCTCAAAAAATAAAAGTGTACTTTTAACACTTTCTTTTTTTTTTTTTTTCCTCAATTTTCCCCATAGGTATAATCAAAGAATATCACTTGCTATTCCCAATCTAGGCAATACTAGCCAACAAGAGTACAAAGTGTCTTCAGTGCCAAATACTTCTCAGAGTTATGCCAAAGTTATTAAAGAACATGGGTAAGTTGAAAGATAAAATGAGAGTTTTTTTCCTGTTGTTTTATCAACAATAATTCTTTTATTAATAATTAAAAAAAAAGTGTAGAGAACTTTAAAACCAAGTTTGTTATGACTGAAATTGAAGAATGCAGAAAAGTAATTCTCTAGGCCACCACCACCATTTATCAAAAGTTTATTCTTATTGAAAAGATAGTTTACTGGGCTGGGGATATAACTCAGTTGGTAGAGTGCTTGCCTCACATGCACAAGGCCCTGGGTTCATCCCCAGCACTACATATAGACAGACAGACAGACACACACACATATCAACATAGTGGATAGTCCCAAATTTCTTTATAAATTTTGCTTATACCCTCCTCTTGTGAGCAAACTATGCCACTAACATAGACCAAACAAATTTATATCTTCCAACAATGTCAGAAATATTGAATAATAATAAATTCACAAGTAATACCACGTTAAAAAAAAAGTTTACTGTATTTTTAAAAAAATCATTTGTGACAATTTTTTTAATGATTGATACAAAAGTTTGGATAGGGTATGTGTATTTCTCAGGTTCTAAATGCTAACCATGGGAAGGTGGGGAGGGAAAGGAGAGATACATACATGTATGACTATGTAACAACACATCGCACTATCATATATAATTATAATGCACAATTAAAATATATATTTTTTAAATGTGTGCATGTGTGTATATGTATACAAACATTTTTAAAAATAAAACCTAAATGTTTTCACTGAAAAATGTATAGCTTTTATTATATTTAGTTTTGCTATTGTGTTCTTTTTATTTTTCTTCTGTAGTTCTAGTAGTATGGGCATTGTCACAGCATTTTAATTAATAAATTATGCTAGGGGCTGGGGTTGTGGCTCAGTGGTAGAGCACTTGCCTAGCTGGGTTCAATATCCAGCACCACATTAAAAAAGAAAAGAAAAAAAAATTATTAAAAAAAAAAATTATGGTAGAAATGCCTTTCAGATTCATGGCAGTTTTAGTTACTTTGTGGCATATCTCTTCTCTTTTCTAGTACTGACTTTTTTGACAAGGATGGAGTGATGAAAGACATCAGGGCCATTTATCAGGTTTATAATGCACTTCAGGAGAAAGTACAGGTAACTGATGGATTTACAAGTTTCATCTTATTTTTACTGCTCAAATGCTTTTTAATTGTATATTAATTTTTCATTATGTTCTAATTGACAAATGAATTATGGTTCATAAGTGAGAATGTGCTTTCCTAAAATAATATCCCATCTGTAGAGTGGTTCCTCCCACCACTATCCACAACCTGCGTCACTCATGTGCCTGACCTGGAGACACTCAAGTACATTATCAATGCTTCTGTTTTAAATCTTTGTGACCCCATTTGTAATCCTGGGTTGGTTGGTTTTGATACCGGGGTTGAACCCAGGGGTGCTCTATGTCTGAGCTACATCTCCAGCCCTTTCCATCTTTATTTTGAGTCAGGGTCTTGCTAAGTTTCCCAGACTGGCCTTAAACATGTGATCTCATGCTTCAGACTCCCAAGTCACTTTGATTATAGGTGAGCACCAGCACAGCTGGCTATAATAGTGTTTTTTTCCTAGGAAAATATATCCCAAGTTTAAAGAAGTTTGCTAAGAACACAGCCTTCTCCATCACTTAAGCTCTAAGTAGAGACAACATCAGAAGCTACCTGTAATTCAACACAGCTTTCCTTCCTTGGTTCTAGTCCACTCACTGCTCCCCGTTGCTCTATCTGGTAGGAGGATCACAGTGGAGCCTGTCATTCCTACTTCTTTTTTTTTTTTTTCAAGGGTGGGGTCCTCCCCCCCTTTTTTTAAGAGAGAGGGGGAGAGAAAGAGAATTTTTTTAATATTTATTTTTTAGTTTTCGGCAGACACAACATCTTTGTTTTGTATGTGGTGCTTAGGATCGAACCTGGGCCGCACGCATGCCAGGCGAGCGTGCTACCGCTTGAGCCACATCCCCAGCCCTCCTTCCTACTTCTTCATGCCACAAATATTTGTGGAATTATCCCAACTGAGCTAGGTGCTAGTGGTACTTTCCCACATTCTTTCCATCGTCCCTAATGTGTTCTTAAGAGTAGTTTGCTCTAAAATCCTAATCACAAAAGAACCTTTGGACTTGCCTTGAGGACCAGAAGGGAAGTGGAAAGTTGAAAAAGCTCTCCTAGGCCTAGAGAAAGCCCAGTTTTAAGAAGAAGCCTCCAAGGAATAGAGAGGGACAGAGGCAGCATCTGAAGGAGTGGAGAGCATAGTGAGAGCAGCCTGGGCAGAGAGTGTGGAGCCTCTTTCAGCCTCTCTGCTCACTGCCCCTTGCACTGAGGGAACACTGTGCATACTTACTCATGGCAGGCCTACTTTCTAGAAGTCTCTGGTATTTCTGCTATGGAAGGAATGTGCAGTGGAAAACAGCTTTTGTCCTGAATCCATGACCATGCCCTTTTCAGACTATCAGCACTGGCCAGAGGACTTCAAAAAGCTGTTACCCATTTCCTTGTTAATGGAGGAAGGCCAGCTCTGCAAACACTGATAGCTCCCAATATTCTGATTATTAATGGTGAAATATATAGACACAGCCTCAAATATTAAACCTTGACTTGGAAACTTACTTTTTCCAGCTTTCCCTCATTATAATTATTTTCTGTTAAATAAATCTGTCTTATCTGATTCTTGATTATTGGTTATAAATAAAAGTTTAAAGCATCTCATTCTGTCTTATCTTTTGTTCTTCCTTTGTACATTAGACTGGTACCAAAAATTTTCATTTTAATAAAAATGATTAATCAAGGGAAAATATTGTATTTTTCCCATGTTATTCATATTTTTCAAGAATGGTCTTCAAATTAGTAAATAAGTACAACATTCATCTTTTGGGCCTTCACAGTCTTGTTCTGCATACTTGTTTGCTTCCTAATGACCTGGGCTCTTCCTAAGGTTGTAACAAGGCTGAATTTATGGACAGCCTCTTGCTGGGTTTGAAGTTAACCTTTCTCTTGTGACTTTCTCAGGCAGTGTGTGCAGATGTAGAAAAGAGTGAGCGAGTTGTTGAATCTTGTCAGGCAGAAGTGAACAAATTAAGAAGACAAATCACTCAGAGGAAGAATGAAAAGGAACAAGAAAGAAGTAAGTTCTTGTTAATTTTACCATTCAGGGGCTGGGGTTATGGCTCAGCAGTAGAGCACTCGCCTTGCAGGTGTTCAGTCCTCAGCACCACATATAAATAAATAAAATAAAGTTATAAAAAAAAATTTTTACCATTCAATATCAGGAAAATGTGTTGTTTTAAATATGGGTTATGCATTCAGTGATGTGAGTCCTACACTCAGCAGGCTGCACATCAGATCAGTGCATTGGAGGAGGGCATTCCCTTCTCATCAGATTTTCTGGAGGGAAGTGCTCTTTTTCACAGCATCTGGCTCAAGTCTCAGAAACTGGAAGAAAAAGACCAAGGATGGTCATGTGTGAACAAATGTGCACCAGTGTGATCTAGTATAGGGACTGTGATGCTGTTATTCAATTAACCTTGGCATCCTGCAGGTAGGGATAGCATCTTGAACTCATTATAGCCACATAAAAGCATACCTAAAATTTTGTGACACAGTATTTGATTCAGAGGGTCATTGTCAGCATTTTTGGTAACTGTGGATGAGTGGACACCTTAAAGCTAAGGAACCAGTGGGTAGAATGAAAGTTAGGCTCAAGAATCTGATCATGGCAGCATGGTACTATGATACCACCAGATTTAATGTTCATACATAAAATTTATAAAGTATGGTATCAAGTATAAAAGAGCATAGGTATAAAATTTATAAAATATGGTATCGAGTATAAAACAGTATCAAGTGTAAAAGAGATAAGTCTGTGGCTAAACTTTTTAATTTAGTAAAAAAATATGTAAACCAATTAAAATGTAATACGTATTTCCAGAAAAGGATATCTGATACATTCTTTCTCTTAAATTTTTCTAGAAATAATCAGAAATGCAGGCAGGTATTTAGAGGAGATAAATCAATATCAAAATAGTTGAATAAATTATGGTATATTATATATATACATATATGATAGATATAGATATATAAATATATAGATATATAGTACCTTATAGCTATATGCAGCTAAAATTTGTCAAGTTATTAGAAAACTAAAAATTTTAAAGATTACATATAGATGTTGGATTATTATGCAGCTATTGAAGTGAATTTGGGTTAATATCCAATATATAATATATAATCTTATTTCTTTTATTTATGTGTGTGTGGTACATTTTTTTGCTTTGTTTTGTTTTGGGTTATTTTGGTAGTTCTGGGGATGAACCCAGGGACCAACACATTAGGCAAGCATTCTACCACTGAGCTACTCCTCCAGGCTCTAAAAAAAATTTTTTTTTTTTTAATATTTCTTAGTTGTAAATGGACCTTTATTTTACTTACTTATATGCAGTGCTGAGAATCAAATGAACCCTGTGCCTCACACATGCTAGGCAAGTGCTCCACCACTGAGCCACAACCCCAGCCCCCTCTAAAAAATTTTGAAAGACCTTGTAGGTGGATAGATGTGGGCCATTTTTGAGCATTCCTAAAACTGGTAAAACTGTGGTTCAGGACCTGGAAAACCAGCCACCTAAACTTAGGACTTTTAAACTTGTAAGATGAAGGAGTTGTGTAAGTGCATTGTTCCAAGTAACTGTATAAAAATATGGTATTTGAAATGAGACTATCAAGAAAAAGTCCCATGTTTATGTGACCTGGAAAAAGCAGTGAAAATGGTTTAGGTTTCTTCCTTTAGTCCCAACGTTTTGAACACAGTGAGCAACGAGTGGCCGAAACAGCACAGGATCTGGAGTGAAAGCCTGTGCTCTATGTCTCAGAGACCCACTGCAGTCAGATTTGTCAGCCTTCGTGGAGACAATGATGCTAAAGAGAGGATGACCCTTCAGATTGTTTTGGGGCATAACTGAGTTAATGTATAGAGAAGTATCATATAAGTTATAACATTATGCAGTTGAAAAATAGTGGTAACAATCTATTTTGCTGCTTCACTGCTATTTTCCAGAATATTCAGGCTGACAGTGTAATGCCTTGATGAAAAGCTGTGAAAATAATAGAAAGTATTAGAATGTTCTTCCTATTTTTACCCAGGGCTGCAGCAGGCAATGTTCAGCAGACAGATGCCATCTGAGAGTGTGGAGCCTGCGTTCAATCCTCGGATGCCCTCTTCTGGGTTTGCAGCTGAAGGTAGAAGTGCACTTGCAGATGTGGAGCCCTCTGATCCTCCTCCCCCATATTCTGATTTTCACCCAAACAATCAAGAGAGTACTCTGAGCCATTCACACATGGAAAGGAGTGTCTTTATGCCTCGACCTCAAGCCGTGGGGTCTTCTAATTATGCTTCCACCAGTGCCGGACTGAAGTACCCTGGAAGTGGCGCAGACCTTCTTCCTTCCCAAAGAGCAACTGGAGACAGTGGTGAGGAATCAGATGACAGTGATTATGAAAATTTGATTGACCCTACAGAACCCTCTAATAGTGAATACTCATATTCGAAGGATTCACGACCCATGACACATCCCAATGAGGATCCCAGGAACACTCAGACCTCCCAGATTTAACTAAACAAAAGAAACTCTCCACTTAGCACTGTTTTTCTTAATTGCTTATTGAGAGTTTGTTGAGGACTTCATCTGGGCGGAGAATGGCCTTCCCAGATGGTGTGGATCACTAGAGGAGAGTCCTCGAATGCAGAACTTGTAGGAGCCTCTGCTGGTGGTCCTCGCCTTTGATGCAGTGCACAGGTTTCATGACAGAATCACTAAGATAATCAAATTGTCCTAATTCTGGTGCGATTCATGGATGTACTGGTAAATTTAGGCAAAGCGAAACTTATCAGTATAGTTTCTGTTCTTTAAATTGGAAATTAGAGACTAAGCACAATTTAGTCTATAAATGTTCTAATAAATCAAAAACTTACCTCTTGCACTATCATGCCTTGAAATTTACTTTTTCAAAGGGAAACAAGTTTAGCAGCAGCAGCCTTCAAAGAACTTCTTTCTATGATGAGCCAAATTCATCTTTGCCAGAAAAGAAATTTTGCTAATTCCAAGAAGCCTGATTGGAACAAATCACATATACCTTCTCTTGTCTGCATGACTTTGTGAGATTGAAAGAGAAGGCTTTGTTTCAACTTTTTTCTACTAGCCTGATATGTATTGTCACTTAAAATGGTTGCCTTTAAAAAAAAAAAAAAGTAGAAATACTAATTACCAGTAAGTAATCATCCAAATAAGTATGTCATAAAATAAGTACTTTTTTTTTTTTTTTTTGGTGGGTGACAGTGACTGCTGTGTTGCACTAGCACATTATGGTCTCTGTTCTGGAGTCTTAGAAGAAGTGGATAACAGCAGTGGATAACAAAAAGGAGTTGGGTACCAGACCTGAGTTTTATGACTAACAGATTCCAGACACAGTGGATTTAGCTGAGTTCATATGTAAGAGATATAACTCATTTAACTCTTCTGACAAATCCTAGTGTTAGTTTTATTTGTGCAGGAAAAACATTTAATTAACTGGGAATCTTGGTAAATAAAGATTCGTTTTAAATCTGAATAACATACTTTTTTTTAAATTGCCATTTGGGGGATAATTGTGGAGTGTGTAGAAAAACTCTGTTGGGATGCACTTATATTTTTATTTAATTACTGCCTGTTTTCTAGTTTTGCCCAAAATGTGTGAAACCACTAAAACATTCATGAGTTATGTTGGGCGCCTGGTTTGGAAATGGCAGGACCCACTGTTTATGAGGACTTTAGCCCATGAAGTTAATACTGGGAGCTAAACTGCCTTTACCTTGGACTAGTTAAAACCTGTAAGAATAAGGAAATTGTTAAAGAGGCTTAAATTCCATTCCAAGAGCACAGTTTCATTTTATAAGGTAGGTGTTTACTCACTGAGCTCCGGTTCTCAAACTAAAGTAGACAATAGAATATGGACTTTAAAATGAAATGCTGAAACTGCCATTCTTTGGATGTGCACTCTGTGGGGTCTGTATTTTAACTGCTGTCGTGGTCTTGCTGGCCTTATGCCACTGCCATTTGATTTGGAATGTTGCAGATCATTTTATCTGCAAATGCGTTCCTGTTTTTATCAGCTACCTACTAGCGGCTTCAGCACCAGTATGAATTTCATTTTTATTTTCAAGTGCCATTGCCATCTCCTCTGTTCAGATTTTGACATTCAGGAAAATATTTTTATTTTTTATGCCATACTGAAATCTACATTGTATATCTGACAAAGCAGTTAAATGTGACAATAAAAACTTATTTAATCATGGTGCCATTGTTTCAATGTCTGTCTCAGCACCCAGCAAGGTCTTGCCTCAGTAGACTCATTCTGGCATTTCATGGTAGATAGTAGGGTTGTTTCTTTTATTTTATTTATTTTTTTTCTTTTTTTGGTAGATGGACACGATACCTTTATTTTATTTATTTAGTATTTTTATGCAGTGCTGGGGATTTAACCCAGTGCCTCATGTGTGCTAGGCAAGCACTCTACCACTGAACCACAACCCCACCCCAGATAGTAGAGTTTTTAAAAGACTATTAAAACTCATTTCCAATGTCCATAGAGACTTTTTGCCAGACAGGTTTCAGGAGAAATCCAAAAACACAATTTACTAAAATAAAATGTTTATATATATTAGCGGCTGAGGCAGAAGGATCACAAGTTGGAGGCCAGCATCTGCAACTTAATGAGGCCCTAAACAACTTAGTGAGACTCTGTCTCTAAATAAAATATAAAAAAGGGCTGGGGATATGTCTCATTGGTTGCGTGCCCTTGGGTTCAATGTCAGGAACACTGCCCTGCCAAAAAAAAAGTTTATGTTGATTTCAAGAAGAATAGGTTGGGTACCAAGTTCAGTTCAGTTACTAGAAAACTAAATATGAGTTGAGTATAAAAGAGTCTTAGAAAGTTCCCCAGAAGAACTGCTCGTGTTGGAAGTAAAAGTGACTCCAGCCTTGGTCATCCAACAGCTGAGGTATAGAGATCTTGGTACTCTGGAAGCATCTTAGGAATTGTGTGTTCTGGATTCTAGGGAGCCATTACAGCTGAATGATATTTCTTCCAAAATCCAAGATGTCTGTTTTCAGCAGGATCTCCTCCAACTATTTGGAGGAAAAAAGACTGGATTCTTTTAACTTACTTAGAAGTCTGGAAATGCTTAATGACATGTTATAATTGTTTTTTCTGGAGTAGGAACAGCACATAAAAATCTCATCCCCAAATATTCAGGATATATATTTTAAAATTCCAGACAGTGGGACATTAACTGCTTCAATTTAAAAAAAAACAAAAAAAAAAAAAAAAAACAACTGTTTTAGAAACCCATACTTTAAGGAAATGAAAAAAAAAAAAAGAATCTGGGAGAACATAAAATAGAAATACAGTAGAAACAGTAAAGGTTATTAACTGCCTCTGGATCTGGTTTGCCTCGACTATAGGTTTCACTTCAGTTACTAAAAGATCTTCACTCTTTTACAAGGTTCTGCTTTGTCTTTCCCACAGCAAACTTGAATTCTGCCAGACAGGAAGCCTGAAGGCAAATGGCCCTGCAAATGTGGTACCAATAAATAATGGAAAATGTTTACTTTTTGACTTGATGACAAACAGATTTAAAAAAAGTCCTGGGATTTGGCCTGTCTTCCTCTTTACAGTGATTTTTGTGATGTCCTAAATAAGGCAAGAGTCAGGATGTGAAATACATCAGATCTGGTTACTTGGGGTTTCTCTGATCCCTGGAAATGGTTATTGGGGCACCCTCTAGCAGGAGGCCTTTGAACATCTACAGAGAGATGTTCCCTCGAATGCCAGATGTTACCCATGGTCAGAATATAGAAAAACACTTAGAAGAAGCTTTCCGTATGCAAAGATTTAGCAAAAGGAAGCTCATTGCAGCATATTTCTAATAGCAAAGAAACAAAATAACAGTCATGCTGATGATAGCCAAATGGTTAAATTTTGGTTCATTCCCCACACTAAATAGTCCTTGTAGCCATTAAAAATATTAAAATATTTCTTTCTTTCTTTCTTTTTTTTTATAAAGAGAGAGAATTTTAAATATTTATTTCTTAGTTTTCGGCAGACATTGTTTGTATGTGGTGCTGAGGATCGAACCCGGGCCGCACGCATGCCAGGCGAGCGCGCTACTGCTTGAGCCACAACCCCAGCCCTTAAAATATTTCTTGACATGGAAAGATGATTTACAGATTCTGAATGAAGAGATACAGGTTTCCAAATAGTGTGTTACATATGATCTGTTTGTGGGGAGGGAAAAAAATTAATGCAGGGTTTTTTGTTTGGTTGGTTTTAATGGTACTGGGGCCACATCTCCAGTCCTTTTTGCTTATTTATTTTTATTTTGAGACAGTGTCTCACTAAGTTACTGAGAGTCTTGTTAAGTTGCTGAGGCTGACCTAGAACTTGGATTCTCCTGTGTTAGCCTCCCTTGTCTCTGGTATTATAGGCCTGTGCTACCTTGCCCAAATTATAAGGTTGTTCTTGATATAAAAACTATTTGGGTCAGGTAGAGTGGCCACACCTGTAATTCCAGCTACTTGGAAGGCTGAAACTGGAAGACCATAAGTTCAAAGTCAATCTGGGCAATTTAGCAAGACCCTGCCACAAAAAAATTTTTAAAAAGGGGCTTGGGGTTGTGGCTTAGTTGTGGCTCAGTGGCAGAGCGCTTGCCTAGTATGTGTGAGGCACTGGGTTCAAATCTCAGCATCACATAAAAATAAATAAATAAATAATAAAATAAAGGTCCATCAACAACTTAAAAAAATATTTTAAAAAATTTTTTAAAAGGGCCAGAGATGTAGTTCAGTGGCATAGCCCTTGCCTATTATGCATGAGGCCCAGGGTTTGATCCCCAGTACTGCTAAAACAAACCTGGAAGGATACTTCCCTAAGTGTTAAATAGTGTTGTCCCTGGGTCATGACAGTAAGAGGAGTTTTTCTCCCATCTTTTACTTATATGCCCTTTCTAATTTTTTGGTAATAACTTTATACAATAAGTCTTCAGAAATGGTGGTCATTGATTATTTCATGTATATCACCCTAGAGGTGATTCTAGAAACATTCCTACTTCTCTGGGTCTCTTCAACACACTTCACTTGCCCAGATTTGTGATCAATAAAGAATCAAACTGGTTGCTGCCATTAATTTCCCTACAGTCCCACCTTTATCTCATTCCCAGGTAAAATCACAGACGTACACTCTGTTTTGCATTGATTTTTTTTTTTTTCTAGTAAATCTGGAGCTAGTTCAACTCTTCTTAGGTCAGAATTCATTTCCTAAATTTTCAAGAAGCACTTAAGAAAGGTCTTCAGAAAACGAAGGTGATTCAAAATTAGAGGAATTATGGTATTTTCCAAGGGCAAGGTGCTTACTACAACATGGATGTCTGGAGTCCAAAAATGTAAGAACAATTTCCTTGATCTTGTAGATACACCCTTTGCACGATTTGTGTGTCCTGCCTGTTGTTGTTCTTTAACACAGTACCCTTAGCGGCAGGTGGTGGTGGCACATGCCTATAATACCAGCAACTAGGGAGGCTGAGGCAGGAGGATCATAAGTTTAAAACCAGACTCAGCAATTTAGTGAGGCCCTAAGCAACTTAGCAAGACCTTGTCTCAAAACATAAAAAGGGCTGGTGTGTGGCTCAGTGGTAGAGCACCCCTGGGTTCAATCCTCAGTATACTCCCCAAAAATACTTTGGATATTTTGGACTGTATGAAGTATTAGAAGATGTCAGTCCTGGTTAGTTCAATCCACATATTGACAGGTCTGGGAGGCATTTACTTGTTTGGGACATTTGCTGGGGCCAACCAATTGTAGTTAATACAGCTGGGTCCATTAGGTCTCCACTGATTACAAACAGATGTGATTTAACTGTAATAGGATGTGGGTCATCCAAAAAACCTTTCTGACAGTTTTGAAGTATGAATATAGGAGGAATTGGAGAACAGTAAGTAACTACTCTTGAAAAATAAAGCACAAGTTCAGAACTCTGGCACACACACGATGGGAAGTTAAAGAGATGGATTTTTATGCAATTGGACTCCTGAAAGCATTCTCCATTTTCTCAGTCTGCCACAATCCTCCCCATTGTTCAAGGGCAGCTCAAGTGTTACCTCCTTTAGAAAAATAGGACTCACTCAGAGGATTGTACAACCTGAAAACCTCACTTGTACTCCATGCAGCACTAGACCCAAGCTAGAGCTAGACCCAGTGTGTCTTCTGGGAGGTGGCAAAGCACAGAGAGCAGGACAGTGACCAAAGGCATCCCAGAATTCCCAGAGCCTGACACTCAGTGGGTGTCAGTGGGTTCTGTTGCTTGAGTGTTAAAATAGGAACAGTAGTAAAAGGAGTCAAATAAACCAAATTGTGCCTTAGATATATTTGCTCCTGAAGAATTAGGCAATGAGACAAAGATAACCATGTGGAGAGGTTACTAACACAAATTCTGACTTTATTCAACTGCTCTTGTATTGAAGCCTTCTTGAAAAGTCCTACCTGGGCCTAGTGGGGCCACTAGGCAGTGTAGCAGGGATGCCTTGTATTCCAGAGGAACTCTACCCCATGTTAGCTGTGGCATCTGGAGAACCTCCCCAGCCTTTGAGGGCTTTCATTAGCTTACCTATTCTGCAGCATGGTTGAGAGAATTTAAGAGAAATGTATGTAAAAATATCTTTGCAAACTGTGATGCACCAAGTACACAATGATTGCAGCTGGCCTAGCCATGTGTTAGTGGCTTCCGAGTTAAAGTGACCTGACAAGCCAAGATCATCATCTAAAGAGATGATTGGCAGCCCCTGAAGGAATCTTGAAGGGCCAGGAAAGCAGTCCCCGGAGCAGCATTTCTCTCATTAACTGTGCTTCCTCCAAGGCCATATTGGGGTTCTGCCAACTGCATTTGAAACCAAAAACTGATGCAGCTTGCAGAATTGTCTGCTGTGTCAGGACAGGAAATGGGTGCAAATGATATTACCCAAAGAACAAAGCCTACCTTTAGAAATAACCATTGTTGGAATGGGGCTGTGGCTCAGTGGTAGAGCACTTGCCTAGCATGTGTGAGGCACTGGGTTCGATTCTCAGAACTGCATATACATAAATGAATAAAATAAAGGTTTATCAACATCTAAAAAAAATTTTAAAAAGAAATAACCATTGTTGTAGATTTCATCCTTTCATGATTTTTAAAAAATACTTGTGGCCTTTTACTTGGGCAAACAGGTGTGAATAAACCTTAAAAGTAGAGATTGGCTTATTTCATCCTTTAAAACAGTTATGATGATGCTCCTAATTTACCAAGTTGGCTGCATGACGTTTGCTTGATATACTGTGAGAGCAGGAAAATAATTTGAGCAAGACAAAAGATGTGATTAGTAACTAAGAGACTTAAGTCTGAACTAGTTACTGTATTCAGAATTTAGCTGTTTGATTTTCCCATCATTTATCAATGAATCAATCATTCATTCTTGTTTTTCTCTTTTTTAATGTTTAAAGACATACAAAAGGGAAAAGGTAATAAAAGAACCACTTTTTTCCCCCTCCTTTAGTTTGTAGAATCATCAACTATTTGACACTCTCACTTAATCTACCCCTCTTCCTTTGAGAAATTATTGCTATCTTCTTTGAAATCACACCCCCAACATTTCATCATTTCACCCACCCCTAAAGACTTCTTTGTATACATCTGAAAACTGAGGATATTTTCTTACACAAATGTAACCACATTATCAAATCTAATGAAGTTAATAATTCCTTAATAGTATCCAGTACTCTGTCCATGTTCCAGTGTTGTTGGTTGTCTGTTTGTCTGTTTGTAGTGGAGAGATGGTACTGTTGCCCCCATAAGCAAGTGACAAATCCCAGCCTCAATGATGGAAGCAGAGTAACATCATGGGTTTCCCTACATGATTTAATTAACAAAGTGCCAGTCCTGGGAAATAGTCCCCTGACTTTCTAACAAATCTTACCCAGTACTAAGGCTGAATTTTCCAGTTTACAGGAAATAAATGCACAGAAACAGATTGACCTATATCATGTGGAAGCCACTGGACAAATCAGTAACACACGACTTACTATGAGATGATTGGCCTAGTTTCTTCACAAAGTCAATTTCATGGAGGGGCCATTACTGATCAAAAAAGATTATAGAGGGGCTGGGGATGTGGCTCAAGTGGTAGCGTGTTCGCCTAGTATGCATGAGGCACTGGGTTCAATTCTCAGCACCATGTAAAAATAAAATAAAGATATTGTGTCCACCTAAAACTAAAAATAAATATTAAAAAAAGATTATAGAAACATCAGCTTTGTTTGGCTTCAACTTTGAAAAAACTGTTAAAAAATCTGGGGGCTGGGGTTGTGGCTCAGTGTACAGCACTCACCTAGCATGTGTGAGGCCCTGGGTTTGATCCTAGGCATCACGTTGTAAAGGTCGGGTGAGCGTCGGAGGAAGAGACCACCAAGAAACTGTCTCATGCAACAGCAAAGGGTTTATTGGGGGTCCAGCATGCTGGGGCTCAGAGCTCACTTGAATAGAGCAGAGAGAGAGCCCTGGGAACAGCTTAAGCAGAGCTTATATACTTTCCTTGGAGAGGGCAGGGACTTCACATACAGCATAGCCAATCATTGCACAGTTTCTGGGAGGGGTTGTTTTCGTAGAGCAACCATTTCCGGGAGTTGTTTTCAACTTCTACATGAGTTTCAGGTTCCAGGAAAACAGAACTTAATTCTTACATTCTTAACCTTTTCATTCCCCACTTCTTTTTCTGACTACTTTTAATCTTAAAAGTAAGAAATCATAATTACTGAGGGGTATCACACTCTATTTCTGCCAGTGAGGCATATTGTTGTCTGATTACCATAAGTTTAACTTGTCCAATTTGAGCTTGGAGAAAGGAAACTACACGGTTGAGCAAACAGGGTCCTACAGTTAGCAATAATATGAGGATTATTAATGGACCAGCCAGAGCTGATAAAAGCGTAGTTAACCAGGGGGACTGTGTGAACCAAGACTCAAACCACCCTTTTTGGGCCTCTCTCTCTCGCTGATGCTCTTTAAGGCATCTTCTTAATTTACTCATAGATTCTTTTACAACTCCAGTATGGTCGGCATAAAAACAACATTCTTCTCTCAATGCAGCACAAAGGCCCCCTTCTCTCATGAAGAGGAGGTCCAACCCTCGCCTGTTCTGTAAAACAACTTCAGAGAGAGAGGTTAAAGATTCCTGTAAAGCTGTGATGGAGGTTTCTAATATCTTTAAGTTTTGGTCTATTGCTGCTTCTAATTGGGTCATTTGTTGTGTCCCATGGACCAGGGCAGTGGTTCCTGTGCCCACCTCTGCAGCAACTCCTATTCCTAATAGGATGGCTAAAGTGAGGGATACAGGTTCCCAGCGGAACCGGGTTGTATGCCCCCCTATTTGATCTTCAAACGAACCTGCGTCATGATAGAGCACTCTGGGAAACATCTGCACCATTACACAATAATTTACAGAGCTGTTAAATACCTGGGCTGAAATGCAAGGAGTTAACCCTGAGTCACATGCCCACCAGGTTCCATTTTCAGCGGTAAGGAAACCCTGTGTGGTGCTAATTTTTTTTATCTGGGTACATAAGTGTTGTTTACTTTTAGGTGGGGACCCTATACATAAGCCTGCCCCGTTACTTCTGGGAGGGTTAACTTAGGATTTCCACCCCAATTACAGGAGGAACTCTGCACTTTTACTGCATAAGTCCCGTCAATTGCTATCCCTTCATAGTAAGGAGGAGCAGTGGAGAGACAGAGCCAACAAGACTGAGTGAGGTCTGGTTGCGTGGAATTCAGTACCGCAAAGGCTCCTTCAATTAGCCCCCAGGGGAAGGGGTTGACTTCACTCTGGATTGGGGAAGTAAACGAAGGTGAAACTTGAGGAGTATGGGAAAGTGAAGGGATCCTAGTAGATTTAGGTCTATGAGGCCCAATTCCTGGCTTGAGGGGATTGGGCCCTATGGCTAAGGGAATTTCTTTTCTTTCAAACCGGATAGTGAACCAAAGGCCAAAATCATATTCTGTGGTGTAAAATCGCATTCCATAGGTTTTTCCTGAAAGCCATGTCCAGATATTTCGGTTTCTTCCTTTGGAGGTGAAGGTTATATTTAGGGGGTTACATAGGCTACTTGTGTCACATGGAGTAGGGTCAGCTAGTCCAGAAGTCCCCGCTTGGGGGTCCCATTTAAATGGGAGACATTGTTCGGGACTTAACTTAGTATTATTTCTTCCTACCCGAATCAGACTATCAGGGGAGTTTGGGTTCCACCAGGCAGCCCCTGTATGCTCACATCCCCATGACTTACAGAAGAAGTCGGCTTCTCCCCCACACAGCCGTGACTGTTTGCGGCTTCGATAGTCCGCTGGGCAAACATAGTAATCTAGGCTAGCCAACCTGCATCTGGCTCACGTGTCCCTACATCCATAATGTTTGTTTCCATTATCTATGGTACGGAAGGGATTTAATGGAATTTTAGTGGGATCCTCTTCATCAGGGATATCCCAATAGGAAAGACCTATAGCCAGCTGACAAATGTCTGGGTGGAGAGATGGCCACCAGGTCCCTAAGGGGGCTATATGCGAGATAGACCATACTTCTTGTCCAGTAGGATTTGTGATCAGCCATCGCTGCTGAACGGGCTGATGAGGATTAGGACTACTGGTGGTCAAGGGGAGAGTTCATAGCCCTATCCACACGGCGAATACGCAATTTGAGAGGGTTACCAGTCTTTTCCAGTTTCCAGCCAGAGTCTGGACAGGGCGCAGGCTTGAGATGAGAGGCATGGATCCAGGAAGTGATTCCATCTACCTTTACCGCTGTAGGTGTTATAAGTACCACCTGGTATGGTCCTTTCCAGCGGGGTTCCAGGGATGACACCTGATGTCGTCTTACGTAGACGAAGTCTCCCACTTGATATCAGTGTGGAGTCCCTTCGTCGCCAGGTTGGTAGGCAGTGGCCAGCTGTTTCCACAGGTATCGCTGGGTTCTTTCAAGAGCTTTAAGTCTGTCAAGCAAGAGGGTGTGGAAGGGATCGTTAGATCTTATAGTTGGGATTAGGTCCCTTACTGGAGGAGGGGCACCATAGAGAATTTCATAGGGGGTGAGGTTACACAAAGAAACAGAGGGAGCATTTCTTGCACGAAACAGGGCATAAGGCAGGAGCATAGTCCAATCTTTTATGCCGGTCTCTAAGCTTAATTTCGTTAAGGTCTCTTTAATGGTTCTATTCATTCTTTCTACCTGTCCTGAGCTCTGGGGTCTATAAGCACAATGTAACTTCCAATTAATCCCCAGGGTCCTGGCTAACCCCTGACTTACCTGGGCCACGAACGCCAGTCCATTATCAGACCCTATTACCTTAGGCAGGCCGTATCTTGGAAAAATATCTTCCAGGATCTTCTTGACCACCATTTGCACCATTTCTTTGTTTGTGGGGAAGGCTTCAATCCATCCTGAAAATGTATCTACAAAGACTAGGAGATATTTAAGTCCATACCTTGCTGGCTTAATTTCAGTAAAGTCCACTTCCCAGAATTGTCCTGGTCTGGTTCCTCATAGGCACTTTCCTACAGGAAGCTTGGAAGGGTAAGCATTAACCAATTGACAGACCTGACAGGCTTTTGTTACCCGTTCAGCTATTTCCTTTTGCTGTGAGTCGGTTAGTGGAAAACTCTGTTCTTTTTTTTTTTTTTTTTTAATATTTATTTTTTAGTTTTCAGCGGACACAACATCTTTGTTTGTATGTGGTGCTGAGGATCGAACCCGGGCCGCACGCATGCCAGGCGAGCGCGCTACCGCTTGAGCCACATCCCCAACCCGAAAACTCTGTTCTTGATCCTTCAGGAATGCCTGCAGTTTCTTTGAACCAAGGTGAGTGAGTTGATGTACATTTTCTACTGACATAGTTAAAGCCGTGATTATAGGAGTTTTTACTGAAGGATTTAGAAATTCTACTTGGGGACCTTCAGGGTTAAAAGTTATTCTGGCCCGGAGCTTGGTGAGCAGATCTCTGCCCATCAATGGAGCCGGGCATTCTGGGATTACTAGGAAGGAGTGATGGACTTTTCCTTTCCCCAGGTCCATGGTCCTCTTAGTTGTCCAAGCCCGATATTTACTGCCGTTAGCCCCTTGAACTAGAGACCTTTTATTTGATAGAGGGCCCAATGGGGCCTTAAGGGATGAGTATACTGCCCCTGTATCCACTTCAAAGTTTACTGGGGTCCCCTTTACTTTAAAAGTTACCCTGAGCTCAGGGAGGGGATCCGAGCCCCGACTTTCCTAGTCATCCTCCAGAGTCAGAATGGCTGGCTGGCGTGGCTGTCTCTTTCTAGGGCACTCTTTGGCCCCGTGTCCTTTTTCTTTACAATAGGCACATTGCTCTGAGGCCAGGGGTGGCCTCTGGTGTGGGCCCAGGTATCCCTTCCTGTCTCTCTGTTTCTTAATTTCTGGCCTATTTGTTGTTGTGACCAGGACCTTAGTCAATGCCTTAGTCTGTCTTTTGCTTCTCTCATCCTCCCTTTGCTCCCTTTCTTTCTCCCTCCTTTGTTCCTTCTCTTCCTCAATTTCTCTCTTATAGTATACCTTCTCAGCTTCTCTGACTAAATCTCTCAAAGTCATATCTTGTAATCCATCTAAGCGTTGTAACTTTCTTTTAATATCCAGGGCAGCTTGCCCAATAAAGGCCATCGTGACAGATGCCTTTTGATCCTCTGCCTGAGGATCGAAAGGAGTATATCTCCTATATGCCTCCATAATTCTCTCTAGAAACATAGAGGGAGATTCATCAGGCCCTTGAATAATCTCTCTTACCTTGGCCAAATTAGTTGGTCGCCTAGCAGCCGCTCGGACACCCACTATTAGAGCCCGGCGATAAGTGGACAGATGCTCCCTACCTTTAAAGGTGTTGGGGGTCCCAGTTGGGTCGGTTCAAGGGGAAGCCGGCTTCGATTATGTTGGGAAGTTGTGTCGGTCGGTCGCCCATCTGGTCCGAGGATATTTTTTTTTAGCTTCCAGGAGGATTCTCTCTCGTTCCTCTGTCATGAAGAGAGTCCCTAGGAGTTGTTGGCAGTCATCCCAAGTAGGCTGGTGTGAAAACATCAATGACTCAACCAGACCTGTGAGCCGGGTGGGGTCCTCGGAAAAAGGGGGATTGTTATTTTTCCAGTTATATAGGTCTGAAGAGGAGAAAGGCCAATACTGGTAGGCTTGCATTTCTCCCCCATGGCCATCGTTAATCATTGGCCCGTAGGGACAGAGGGGGAGCATCACGGGAGCTCCAGGGTTTTCAATCATTCGCCGCCGGCGAGTTCCTTTAGCCGGGCCAGCTTCCTCCAGGGGAGGAGGGGCTGTGTGTGCCACGGGGGAGTCATCTGGAGGGTGCTGGGCCTGCCTAGCTTTCTCCAATGGCGGAGAGGCTGAGTCAGCAGCAGGGGAATCACTTAGAGGGCGTTGGGGGTTGGGGGACGAGGGCAGGGGATAAGGAGGGGGAGGAGAGTCCAGTAGAGTCAAATCTTGAGACTCAGGGAGAACAGAGGGTGGAGGAGGAGGAGGAGCAGAGGGTTTGAGAGATAGAATCGTGGGGGAAGGAGTAGGAGCGGGGGCAGGGACAAGGAAAGGCTTCACCCATGGAGGAGGAGATTCACAGAGGTCCTGCCAAGTTAAGATATATGGCTGTTGATCTGGATGGCTATGTGGCCCCGGCTGAAAGACAATATCTCTGACTTTTTGAATTAGTGGGAAGTAGAAAGAACCTTCTGGGGGCCATCCGACTCCAAAGGTGGGCCATTCTGAGGCACAGAGAGTCTGCCAGGTCCGGCGTTTTACTGAAAAAGAAAGATGCTGAGCCCTTAAGCGGACTTCGGTCCACTGATCAAGGGTCAGGGACAGAGGCATTGAAGTGCTCTGTCCCATAATGAAAGATACACAAACAGTGAAAGCAACGACACACGACACAGACAAGACAATAAAGACAGACAATGGACGTCCAACACTGAGACCAGGACTGAGTAGCTGGCAAAACCCGATGGGCTGGCAATACCGAATCCGAAACAAAATATCACCGAGTCAAGGACCTCGATTTCCCAAGTCCTCTGGGGCGTCCCCCAGGGACGTGGCCTGTGGTTCTGTGACACGTCTCTCAGCCACTGTTGGAGAGAGCTCACACTCTTCACCGACAGCCACTTTGCCAAGCCCTAACCTGAAACCTGAAACCGGAAAGAGGCACCTTACTTACCCCGAGAGGAGCCTGTTGGGGTCTTTCGTCCGCCGCTGCCGGATCTCGGTGGGACCTCCAGATGTAAAGGTCAGGCTAGCGTCGGAGGAAGAGACCACCAAGAAACTGTCTCATGCAACAGCAAAGGGTTTATTGGGGGTCCAGCATGCTGGGGCTCAGAGCTCACTTGAATAGAGCAGAGAGAGAGCCCCGGGAACAGCTTAAGCAGAGCTTATATACTTTCCTTGGAGAGGGCAGGGACTTCACATACAGCATAGCCAATCATTGCACAGTTTCTGGGAGGGGTTGTTTTCATAGAGCAACCAGATGATCAGTGCGCATTTCCGGGAGTTGTTTTCAACTTCTACATGAGTTTCAGGTTCCAGGAAAATAGAACTTAATTCTTACATTCTTAACCTTTTCAACGTAAAAATAAATAAAATAAAGGTATTGTGTCCAGGGCTGGGATTGTGGCTCATTGGTGGAATGTTCCCCTAGCATGCTGGGGGCACTGGGTTCGATCCTCGGCACCACATAAATGTAAAATAAAGATATTGAAAGAATGATCAAGGCTTGCTGTGGGAGAAAATGCCCGTTTATTGAGGAACAGCTCTGCCTATTTATAGAGCCGAGGGGGGCGTTTGACAGTTATGACAGTTTAATGGTTGAAGGGTTTGACAGTTAGCATGGGGTGCTTTTTGATTGGTGGTTAAGGATCATGTGAGCCAGCAGGGCTCACTATTGGACGTCAGGATCATGTGAGCCAGCAGGGCTCACCATTAGTGGGCTCTTCTTGGGGGATGGGGAAATTAGTCTTTGGAGCCCGGGTGACTCCCAACAGATATTGTGTTCACCTAAAACTAAAAAAATATTTTTTTAAAAAAAGGTATTGTGTCCAACTACAACTAAACAATAAATATTAAAAAAAAAATCTGGACAGTGAGCTGGGGATGTAACTCACTGGTAGACTGCTGTCCTAGTATGTGCACAAGTCTACACGTGTGCACTCTCACATGCATGTGTGCACACACACAGGACACTTGGAGAATGTGGAATAGGAAATTATTCTGAGTTTTCTTAGGTACGAATAATGGTATAAGTAAGAGAGACAATTTTTTGATCTGGGGGAAATCCAAGCTTCAGATTATATTCAAATTGCTCAAAACATATGCAAGCTGGTCATGATGGTGCATGCCTAAAATCGGAGCTGCTGGAGAGGCTGAGGCAGGAGGATTGTGAGTTCAAGGCCAGCCTCAGGAACTTAGCAAGACACTGTCTCAAAATAAAAAATAAATAAAAAGGGCTTGAGATAGGGTTCAGTGGTGGAACACCCCTGGATTCAATCCCCAGGACCCAAACAAGAGGAACCAAATGAAAACACACACAAGCAGAAAATGACAATGACAGATAGTTTCAACAATTGTTGAATCTGAGTGATAGGGACACAGGTATCTATGTATTATTCTTTCAACTTTTCTGTACATAGGGCATTTTACACTTTAAAAAATGGGGGAAATATGTAATAAGAATTGTAATGCATTCTGCTGTTATATATAAATAAATAAAATGTGGGGGAAATAATGAAAACACAAAAGGGCAAATAATCCCAGATGGTATTTTTAAAATATGCAATGACTGCTATGGAATATAAGCAAATAAAGAAGTAATGAATTGGGCTGGGATTGTGGCTCAGCCGTAGAACACTCGCCTAGCATGGGCGGGGCCCGGGTTGGATCCTCAGTACCACTTTAAAAAAATAATAAATAAAGGCATTGTGTTGTGGCCATCTACACCTAAAAAATAAATTTAAAAAAGAAGTAATGAATTAATGTATTTTCTCTAATTCTTGAAATAACCTAAAATATATAGCAGATCCATCCATCCGTCTCACAGACTAATTGCAGAAAAAATGGAGACCTGAGTTAAAACCAAAACTTCCCTCCTGTGCCCAGCTGAAATTGCCACCCTACAGAATAAAGAGCTGAATAAAAAGTTGTGGCTTTAAGCTACTATGTTTTGGGGGTTAATTGTTGGACAGCAATTATTACCTGCTACAGGTGGGAGCAAACTTGGGTGTTAATATTGAACATTGGTGGAAGGTGAGGAAATCCCACTGTGCATGACCCTCTGCATGGAGCAGAAAATACATCAGCCTGGATCCTTCAACCCCAAAACTGGGAAGAGTGGAATAAAGCACCCCACCAACTGACCAAGCTGGTCAGCATCTGGGTCACCAAGGAAAGGCCCAAGGTTGGAGTCTCCAACATCCCACCATGGCCACAAGAGGGCCACTGCTGCACAGTAGAAAGAACCCTGAACACCTGTGATCCCAGCTACTTTGGAGGCTGAGGCAGGAGGATCACAAGTTTCAGGTCAGCCTGGCAACTTAGGGAGCCCTGCCTCAAAATAAAAAATCAAGAAGATAATACCAGACCTTAAACTATACCACAAAGCTATAGTAACAAAAATGGCATGGTATTGGCACAAAAATAGACATGTAGACCAATGGTACAGAATAGAAGACACAGAGACAAACCCACATAAATACAGTTATCTCATACTAGACAAAGGCACCAAAAATATATATTGGAGAAAAGATAGCCTCTTCAACAAATGGTGCTAGGAAAACTGGAAATCCATATGCAGCAAAATGAAACAAAAGCCCTATCTCTCACCACATACAAAACTCAAAGTGGATCAAGGACCTAGGAATCAGACTAGAGACCCTGTGCCTAATAGAGGAAAAAGAAGGCCCAAATCTTCATCACATTGGATTGGGCCCCGACTTTCTTTACAAGCTTCTAAAGCACAAGAAATAAAATCAATAAACAGGATGGATTCAAGCTAAAAAGTTTCTTCTCAGCAAAAGAAACAACAATGAGGTGAAGAAAGTGCCTACATTTTTGGAGCAAATGTTTGCTACTTGCAGGACAGGTAGAGCACTAATCTCCAGGATGTATAAAGAACTCAAAAGAACTTAACACCAAAGAAACAAACAACCCAATCAATAAATGGACTAAGGATCTGAACAGACACTTCTCAGAAGAATAGATACAATTGATCGACAAATATATGAAACAATGTTCAACATCTCTAGTCATTAGAGAAATGCAAATCAAAACTACTCTAAGATTTCCTCTCATGCTAGTCAGAATGGCAGTTATCAAGACTACAAACAACAGTAAGTATTGGTGAGGATGGGTGGGGGAAGGCACACTCATACATTGCTGATAGGACTGCAAATTGGTGCAACCATTCTGGAAAGCAGTATGGAGATTCCTTAGCAAACTTGGAATGGAACCACCATCTGACCCAGCTATCCCACTCCTCAGTCTATACCTAAAGGACTTAAAATCAGCATACTATAGTAACCCAACCACATCAATGTTTATAGCAACTCAATTCATAATAGCTGAATTGTGCAACTAACCTAGATGCCCTTCAATAGATGAATGGATAAAGAAACTGTAGTATAGATAATGATGGAATATTACTCAGCATTAAAAGAGAATAAAATTATGGCATTTGCAGGTAAGTGGATGGAGTTGGAGAACATCATGCTAAGTAAAGTAAACCAATCCCCCAAAACCAAAGGCTGAATGTTTTCTCTGAGAAGTGGATGCTGATCCATAATGGGGGTGGGGGGAATGGGAGGAATGGAGGAACTTTAGGTAAGGCAAAGGGGAGGGAGTGGAAGGGAGGGGGCATGGGGATAGGAAAGATGGCAGAATGAGATAGACTTCATTACCCTAGGTATATGTATGACTGCACTTGTGGTGTGACTCTACATAGTGTACAACCAAGGAAATGAGAAATTGTGCTCTATTTGTGTACAATAAATTGAAAAGCTTTCTGCTGTCATGTATAACTGATTAGAACTAATACCAAATAAATTTTAAAAATAGAAAGGAAGAAAGAAAAAGAAGTAAAGAAGAGTTGAGGGTGTATCTCAGTCATAGAATGCCGGTGGGCTCCATTCTCAGTACCAATGACAGAGACCCTGAACTGAAATGCGGAGATGAGAAAATTGTAATTTTGAGCAAAACACCCACTCCAGTTTCTTGCTCTGCAAGTAAGAGGTGGCCATAGATGACTTGTTAGGTTCCAAGTTTCAGTGAATCCATCTTTCTGGAAAATTCCAAGTCAGTGTTTATAAATCTGCTTGAACAGAGGGGTCCCACCACTGAGGAAAACCTCCTGGAGCAGAGACTCTGCCAGAGGACAAGTCTTCCTCTTCTCTGACTCCGTCTTATGTCCAAGCTTGGCTTTCTGTAGTCAGAGTCTGATCTGCCTCCCAGCTGTAGCTCTGCAAAACAATCGGTCCAATGTGCCCTTCTCAGTAGGGGCAGGTCTTGAGAGAGGCCATTCTCAGACTTCAGAAAGATGAAGTGCTGGGCACAGCCTAGCATGGAACAGATGGCTGGAGGCCCCAGAGGGCGGGTCCATGCATCTACATATCCGTTCACTTTACAAATATCCAAGTGCCTGCCATGTTTTACTGTGATGTAGGACTGATGAGGCTGGACATCCAAGGAATTTTCAGCAAGCAGGTTTATGTTTCAGCTGCAGTGGTCCAGAGGGGCTAATACTTAAAAATTTCTGGACCCTGAGTCTGGAAATTCTTTGAATTTTATATTCAGTGGAGTAGTTACATGTCAGTAGATGAGTACATAACAATTAGTCTTTGTCCCATACTCTTAAGATAGACAAAGGTTTTATAAGATTAAAATATATATATTTTTAGATGTTGATAGACCTTTATTTTATTCATTTACCTATATGCAGTGATGAGAATCAAATCCAGTGCCCCATACATGCTAGGTAAGCGCTCTACAACTGAGCCACAACCCCATCCCTTGTAAGTTTTTACCAAGAAAACAGAGACAGTATCTTTTGCATAGCAACTAGCTCTCTTTGAGACAGACTCTTTAACACCCTTGTCTGCAAACCTGGCACTTACAAAAAAAGGAAGCGTCAAACCACAATGCCCTCTGCAGAGAAATCCTGTGGACATTCTGTTGACACTCTGTAAAAATCTTTGTGACAAGAAGCATAATTATGGGGAGGGTCTTCGGAGAAGGTTAATTATGGCAAGAGTCTTTTGGGTGAGGGTACTTGGTCTGCTTCATTCTCCCCTTTGATCATGAACATTATTTAGTCCTTTAAATCAAATCCTCTTCTCTGGTGACATTTCTAAAAATAGCTTCAATTGCTGAAGTCCATGGGGCCAGCAGCATTTTGAAAGTGTAGTTCTCTTGGACAGTAG